ACATGGCCCGCAGCTAAACGATCGGCAAAGAACTTGTCGATCGCAAGTACTTGTTCACGGGGCAGTGGCCACTGCTTCATGACACAGTACTTCGAGCCTGGTTTAAGCTCGACCTCGTGTCGAATACCTTTATCCTTCGGTAATTCGCACGGAACAGTTTCAGGGAACACATCCTTGAATTCAACCAAATCTTCATAGAGAGGATTTGTCTTGAGCGATTCCCACGATTGGGAGTCATATCGCTCAATTCGTGTCTTTTCATCTAGGACACTCTCGTCCATAGATGAACTACTGAGAACTCTCTCGTTCTCAGTAAACACTGTTGCTGACCTTATGTCGGTTACACACTCGTCGTCAGCGACGAGTACGCAGATCTGCTTGACTTTGCCACTACGCAGATCACGCAAGAACCTTTTATGTCCGAGCGTTGGCAACTGAGTGATCTCCGAAGTTAACTTTGGAGGCGCAATCAGATCAAGTGTATAAGCGCCTACACTTGATCCGTTATTGACTATGACATTCAATGTCTCTGTCATTTCCTGGGGACTTATTCCCTCAGGCTTCGAAGGACTTATTCCTTCGGCTTCCCGGGGACTTATTCCCGCGGGTTTCGGGGAACTTATTTCCGCCGTATTTGTAATCTTGGGACTTATTCCCTTTACTTCCTCTAGCTGGGGTTGCGCAACCACAGCGAGATCCTCTACGAAAGACTCTCCAGTCGATCTAGGATTATCGTTTCGCTTAACCTGAGCGATCGATTGTTTCTCTTCTAGATGTTCCCCGCTAGGGATACATCTTTGTCCCAGTCCACCCGACTTATTCGAGTGGTGGACCTTCGGCGCAGCCTGTGTTTCCTCACAGCCGCCGTAACTTTGCTCCGAAGTGTAACCGTTTGGTACACTAAGGTTTTGTGCAGTCGTACTAACGACCGTACCACAAGTGAGGCCATCGCACTCACTCGTAGTACATCCACACGCTTGTGGACGCTCCAAAACGTTCATCAGATGGCCATCTGATGAACAAGCGGCAGGCATCGTTACTGTCCGATGTTGCCAGTTTACCCGTGGTTCGTACCTTCCGAGCCACGGTATTCCAAGGATAACATCGAATTTGTCATCCAAATCTAATACGATAAAGTCATCGTCATGTTGGGTATCTTCTAGCGTATAGTGGATCTTCACTATACGCTTCATGACGGTTACGGATGCGCCTGTCGCAAGACGTACCGTCATCCTCGTAGGAGGTGTGTCACATTCACTGAACGTAAAGTGACCATCTTCTAGCGATTGGCGTCGCACAAAATTGTTGGACGCCCCACAATCGACTAGAGCTCGAAGGGACAACTTATTCGTCACTTCGAGTTTCAAGGTAATGAGTGAGACCTCATTACCTAGAGCAGCAACGCACAACGTTTGTGTGTTGGGAGCAACCTTCATCAAGAGGCCTACAAATTCTCTTGACGTTGCTGGACCAGTAGGGTGCTCCGCACCTACTGATCCTGTCCGTTTTTTGACGGTCCATCCCGTTGTTGTGTTTTTGCACCAACAGCGGACCCTCGTCCCTGCCCCTTTCTCATGGGTGGACGGTCACTACGCCCAGTGTCGCGAGACACTGGACGAGGGGCACTACACTCGTAAGCGTAGTGTCCTGTCTTTTGACATCTGTTGCATCTCTGCAACTTCTTGTAGCCTGTAGAGCGAGCCTTCTCGCTCTCTACATAACAGAGTTCCATCGGCTCTGGACCTCCGTTGTCATATCGTCTCGGTTGACGATATGATGTCGAGCTGGCGCGAGCCTGTCTCAGACTGAAGTCGTCCTGATCCGCAATGGATATGGCTTGTTCTAGGGAATCTAGTTCAAGCCGGAACAGGTGAGTCTTGACGGGACCATCCGCAAGACCCTGCATGAACACCGAAACCAACGTGTGTTCATCCACCGGATTGGAACTTATACAACTCGTGAGATGTCGTATATGTTGCGCGTAAGCGTGTACATCACGCTTACCCTGCTTGAGCTTCAAGAGTTCGGTTCGAGCTCTGAACTCAGCTCTAGGCGGTTCAAACGTTTGTCTGAGCCCCGACTTGAAGACTTCCAACGACCCAAACGCATATGGGTCGTGCAACTTGAGCCCCAGTGCCCAAGTCTTGGCACGTCCTGCCAGATTTGACTGGGCAAATGCAACTTGCATATCCCCGTCGTCGATGCGACGCGCCCTTATAGCGTCATCCAATTCGACGAACCATCTCAAGAGGGAGTCCTCTTCGACTCCCCTATACTTGGAGATGTCAATCTTCAAGGTTTCGGGTCGACGCGAATGCATCGGCCCACCAGCAGCAGCCTGCTGCTGTCTCAACAGTTCAAAATGTTGAGCACCCTGTTCTCTCAACAACTCTGCTTGTTGAGAACCTTGTTGGTGAAGCAAGGCTACTTTCTCGCGTTCTGCGTCAAGTTCATTTTGAATGAACTTGGCGATAGTAGCATGTTGGGCATCTCTATTGAGAGCCTCTAGCATGACGCTAACAGCATGGATGCCCATGGTCGAACCCATTCGTTCAACCGCATCCCATTCGACATCGCTCAAATGAGAGTAGCCGTCACGCATAGCGTCAAAGCTTTGGTCATCTTCATCATCCAACATATTCATGTTGGATGTGAACGTGATCCTTGGACGGACTACGAAGTGCTACCAGGTGTAACGGGGCACCCTGAAGCTTGTACTGGTGACAGTACAAGCTACTTATTCTGCTGACAGAATAAGGCGGTGCCTCGTAACTTCACGTACACTCGTACGTGCAGAGGAAGACGGTAAGAAGAAGCGAGTACTTGGTTAAAGTAAAAAGTAGAACTGTATTTAGTATAGTTAATGTCTGCAATAAATCACTATTTATCTTCATCTAACTATGTCTAAATACAAATGTGTAAATCAGTTATCTGCTCAGCACTCATTGCGTGCGTCTGTCGTGGCGCGTCTTCGTTGGTTGATATAATGGCCTAAATCAACCAATTAGGAACTACTCGTAAGTGCTACAGAATATTTGTCCTTATGACAATATTCTGAGAATGTAACTCTTATAGTTCTATTTTATTAACAATTTCTTATAAATTGTTATGTAACGATTCACCCCGTTACAGATAATCGCAAAAGGTGACAGGATTAGAAAATCAACATAAGCGTAAAAGGATGTTTAAAATCCCTATATAATCTAGTTCGCCACTGAGCCGCAAACCTTCTTGAGTAAAAATATCTCAAGAACTACGTAACTAGACTGATGCGCGACATGTACGCTCATAATCAGCACGTACAAATGTGGATAAAAGTAGGATGTGCGGTCAATCCTCTGACTTACAGACCAGCTGAAGCAAGCCGAAGAGCACACCTCAGTAGGCAGTAATGAACACGTCTCCTCTATCCGGCGTGTCAGCCATTGAAGCAGCAAATAGTTGATATGACCCCAAAGATTTTTGTGTTTGGTTCTTGGCTGAGAATGAACATCCCGTTCTGTCATCTTATCGCGGCTCCCAGAGCGAGGAAGAAACTCTTTCAGTTAACAGGTCAGCGGTACTAAGTCACGACTCATAAAACGGCCGTCGGTGCCATGTTGATTCCCGAGGGTCACGTAATTGTCAACCACTAAGGTGTTCCACCAGCGACATATTTCTGTCGGGCGGGAAGACCCAAGAAAATACGCATTAGATCTCTAGGAGAGAAGGCTCCGACCGGGCGCGCAGACCGTACCAGTGCAGCAAGTGTGATAGCACTAATGGACACAACCGGGCGACCTTCTACCGTGTTGAGGCCTAACATGTAACGATCATGTCATTCTCTTCATATTTACACTGTGAAGCGAATTCTGTGACTCGCGGGGTCAAAGGTTTAGTGACTTGCCAACCGAGAACGTATGCATCCTGTGAACAAAATAGTCTGACTTGTTCGGAGCGACCATCATTCGTCACTGATAGGGTAGCATGTTCTCCCACCAGCAATGATACGGTCTGACCTAAATGACTCACCCTCCGACGAACTTAAGATGGAGTGATCTGCACCAGACTCTAAACTATGTCCAGGTCCGACCTAGTACATGTACATGACAACTCTCTCAAGCTGGCACGAGATACGGTTGGAACACCCACGTCGGAATGGAGCCTACACTTACCAGCACATACACTGGGACATGCACCACTCCGCTATGGTGCATACAACCCCTCCTCTTGCAACATCAACCTCGTGGTCCTTCATCGCATCGGTACTCTGTACCGCCAAGAGCGGTTCCCTGTACCTACTGGTCACTGGCGTAATTCACGGCTGGGTGATAAGTTAAAAGTGTCTCGATTTCTAACATTTCTGTCACGTTCTGGTGAACATTTAAATCCTGTCATCTTTTGCAATTATCTCAAGAAATTAATCATGCTACGACAGGAGTCATTCACACGATTTGAGAAACGCCATCGGTCTCAACACCATTTTGATCGCGTTGTCTGAACTCGAAAACTTGAGACGCACTCTGCCTCGCATTGTGACCACACGCGCATTTCTAGTCATTGAGATGTATGGACCTGTCAGAAAGTTTATATGTTCAAAGCACATCTTGTGGCCTTCATCTGTAGAGAGCAAATGCATGAGTCAATGATCAGATCATTATTAGCCACATACTGATTGCACCTGGGTACCATTACGTGCCCATAGCGGAGCTTTTTTTTCTGATGGCAATATGGACAACTTAATGATCAAAGAGACAATCCGCCTAGAGCTTGCGCTTTTGTCGTCTGGTCACATTCCGCCTTCGGCTTTTTAGCGAGGCGACAGTAGGATCTAAACGATGTCACATACTATGAATTGGTAACAACACAGTTAAGTGTCGCGTACGCGCTCGAGCCCAGGCTAGACATGGAGGTTCAATTTCTATTTGGAGCAGTACCGTTAAAACGAGCATGTATCGACCAGCAAATTTTCACTGATCATACCTGTAGAGATCAGCGCGCAGAAAGGTGTACATAATCAATTACAGTCGCTTGAGCTCTTTCTTCTTGTTCGCCTTCTTTTTCTTGAGAGAAGACCCAGGATTACTTCCAGACGTTTTCGCCTTTTTCAGCGGCGTTGAAAGTATGGCATCCAAACCAATCTCGACACTACCGTCAGCAGACCGTTTGTGTTGGCTATCCGTTTGGTTGCTAACAACCTCATTGTTTTTCTTCTCTTCTTCTCCACTCGTTTCGCCGGCTTCCTCATTTGCCAAAGCCGATCGTTTAGGGGCATGTATATCCGTCCATAGTTTTGCACGTCGTGCATACTCGTCATAACTCTCCAGAAATAGCTTGCCTGCCTCATCGTTCAGCGACGATTCGGGAAATGGTACAATGAGCAGACAGCGCACCACTTGCAACACATGAGAGAGTCCGAGCATCGGCTGCCAATCCTTTTTGAGCGTGTTCACGCAAATCTCACCTGCAGGCTGTGACACATTAGGATGGAAGATTTTGGTCAGGAAAACTCCACGTGGTGGCTGTTCTGGAAAATTCTCGGTGAGCGTAAGCTTAACCGAGAAGTAGCCTTTTTCGTAGGGAGTGTCTTCTGGTCCACGAATTTCGGCAAAAATCTCGTTAAGTTGCTCTTTCTCCTGAGGTATGTACCGGATACCGTCCAATGGATCAGTTACAAGCTTCCGGAGCTCACGAGAGACGCGCTGAGCTACTTGAAATGGTAGAGTTTCACGTGTCAGCTGAGAAAGTCACCAATGGCAGGCAATGGAAAGTAGACCGGGCAGTTAGTGTTGCAGCGTTAATCATTTTCAATCATTTTTGTCTTGTGTAGAAAGCATTGACGTGAACAAAAGGCACAATGTGGGAAGCAGATACGCACTAACGGATATGACTAATATGTAATGTACCAACCATTGCAAGGGACGAGTTAACAGCTGATGTAGTAGACAGACAGTGACGTTCGCGGGAATTTTTGAAATGACAGTTTTGGGACGGGCCAGTAGTACGTGGTGTGGCCCACAATGACATGTTACTTTGTCGAAACGTAGCGGAATCGGCTACATTATATTGCAACAAAGCGACGAGCAGATTAAAAGATGTTGCAGCGAACCACCTGCAGTTAGAATCTCTCGATGCGTTTGAGCTCCGAAATCACTGCAAAGGTGTGGAAGTCACTGCCTATTATTTTCACGTGGCAAAATGGGGGATCGTCTGATTGGACTACCACCGGAGAAGCTCCACCACAACTGGAGCATCCTCATCATATGCTGTTTGTGAACTCGCTGATACAAACGCAGAAGAGTTGTCCTACGGTCTTTCAGCGCAAGCTGAAGTGCGCCAAAACTTCAGCTTGCGCTGAAGGCCGTAGACATTGTAAAGAAAAGCCCGATTGGATGATATAGGACTAAACAGCGTACCGGTGATTGTGTAGACAGTAGAAAGTGAGCACATGTGCATGATCATAATGCTACTTCATTTAGACGCGACCATTTTTCCTACTGCAAACGTCCACGGCATTGCAGTAACGGCGAAAACGACGGAGCAGTGACAATATCAACAACCGTGACTCAGATAGCGATGACGCCGAACAATCTCTCAAGTTTATGGTTTTCTTCAGGTGAAGACAATGAGTGACGTTGTCTGCTGACCAGGCTGAGCGATCTGAATCGACCTTACTTACAATGTGTGCGAGGCACGTGATTCCAGCAGCTGAGTTGGTACATATGGACGCTGTTAACGCGGCGAAGGTTATGCAGGTATGTTTTTACGTTATCCGTGGTATACAACAGAAGCTGGGTGTATTACTGGCGTGGAGTATCGAGGAAGGTCATCTAATACATTTGCTTGACAGAAAACCGGAACATAAATACGCTACTAGCCCCTGCCTGAACGATTGCGTCGGCAACAACGTCACCGAGAATACGACAATATCATCACTGCGCATCGCATTTGAGACCCATGATGGTCACTGCAATCAATCGGCCAAACGCGGTAAACCCAACTGTCAGCAATCTCTGGCAGCACCTCAAGTGGCGGACAACTTTATCGTGGCTTCAAACGACCTGCATCGCCGTAATGCTTACGACCACGCTTTGTCCTGGTCTGCTCGGTGACAGATGGCGAAAATCAGCAAAAGACCGAAGAACCGGGTCGTCTTTTTCACTAGCTTGAGCCCCACGCTTTCAAGAACGTTTGAATGGGACTAAAAGGCGCTCCGTTGACTGACCGGAGCAGCCCATATCACCCGTGGAAAAGCTGCAACTCAGGTGGCGGGTTCTGATGTTCCCTGACGCTGAGTCGATAAAGTCTATAATATTTGCGAGCTTCAAATGCGCCTTACGTGGATAGATGCCAGCCAGGACGACGTTTGTGGTGAGGACAGCACTGCAGTTTTACATGATACTGCAGCGGCGCTCATCACCCCCCTCAACAAAACGTTCGATGTCTTCATCCGTAATCGCGCCTGTCGTCATGTTTTTCGGGAACATATCCTTCACAAGCACGCCTTCCATGTCGGATCGGATATAAAAGAGCAAGTAGGCAGACGGGCTGACCACTTGCTGCTCCTCAACAACACGGACACGCTCGTCATCGTAATAATACCACTGGTCGTCGACAAAGCTTTTCGCGTACGCCGTGTAATGGCCACCACCGAGTGCTCCCTGGTGGTTCACAACGCCGTACAGATTATATCTGGTTTCGAGACAACGGGACTGGTCCAAGTTTGAGTTCGTATATCCACGACGCACGCGATTGCGTACCGCTGCTGCTTGAAGTGCAGCTGCACGCTGACTGTCGGTTGTTGACGATGTGGTTTCCGTCGTGGCCGGGCTGCCAGCTGCTGCCAGCTCTTCTTCATCTACGACAGAGGCACCTGCATTTGCTGGCAGCTCGCTATTCCCAAGTTTTTCCACCAATGTGTCTTCGCCTGCCTCTTCTTCGGCTAGCAGCTCATTAGTCCTATCAAAACCAGATCCAGCAGCCTCATTTGACGTGTTGTCGGCTCCACATACTTGAGAAACAGGTGGGGTTGATCCGCTGCTGAACGCACTCCCACCACGAGACCTGGTCTTCATGAGCTTTCGTGCAGGGGGTGGTACCAGCTTGCTTTTCGGTCTTTTCAATGGATACTTCTCCGGAATATCGACGTGAGGAGCCACGCAGGTCGAGAGATCCAAATCGTGAATAGGAAACTCAACGAGAGAAGCTAGCTTCCGACGATACGTCTGTGTGTACTGAAAACGCTTCAGATGCACCACCATCACAGGCGGTAAACGCCAGATCTCAAGCTTCTTCGTCATTTCCTGGTGTTGTCGGCAGCTAGAGCAGTAGCCCTCGCTGATCTTCTCTTCACTCGTAAACGCGTCCAAACAGTGCTTCAAGGGAACTGGGCCCTTGTCAATTGCTTCATTACGCGCAACGCTATCGTGGCTCTCAATCTGTTTCATTTTGTCCATCATCTCGCGGTTCTGGAACACGCTAAGATCCCAATCAATGGCAACGGCTTCTTCTTCTAATATGTCAAGTGGGTCTGATGTACACGGAATTGTAAAACCGAAACTCCGCGTGAGCCACGATGACCGCGAATCGGTCAGTCCCTTGTTTTCAACACGGCGCAGCAGGAATCCACACTTTGAGCTGATTGTCACGTAAGCGCTGTCGAGACCCGCAAAAACACTATCGATGTGGTTCGCAACCAGGCGGTCAGCGTCCAGCGCGTCGTCACCTGCCCACTCAGTTGGAGGTAGCGCGTTCGGGCCCACGTATCTCTTTACACGTTCCCAAACCAGTTGATACAAATTAAGACCACTAGTAAGCTCCGGGCAAAGTCGAACAATATTTGGCGAGCCAAAGGGAACAGGCCTGAATGGGTTCTTGAAGTATACAGCCGAGTAACTCAGCTTGCGCGAAAGCAGCGGGATGTATAGAAGTCGCGCTTGACGAGGTCGCAACCGATCTAGCGGAACCTTTAGCTCGTCCTCTGTACGATGGAGGCGAACGAGCGCGACTGGTTGGTCTTCATAGTCGGGATGTGCTATGGCTGGCTCCACGACAACCGCCGGAATGTGCTCGTGCGACTGAGCTCGCATGCGCACATCAACCAAAGCTCCCTTTGCCAGCTTCTCGTAGAAAGACGAGTAATCAGCTTCGTCCTGTCGTAGTCCACCCGTTCCAACAGCCTGGACGTATGACGGACGACGATACCGCGTGGCCTCAATCGTTGCTGCATCAAGGGGCTCTAATTGAAACGCAATAAGCCGATCAATACTGCGAATCTGTCCCACACGGCGATTATCAGCCTTGAAACTTAATATTGTTGATCCGCTGAATTCGCACAGCTTAATGTCGCCTTCGGACACGCCAGGCAGATCAAACTCTTCATGGCACATCTCCATTAGTTCGTGCTTCAAGTCAAAAATCGTGGCCAAAATACTCAGTCGCACTGACACTTTAACAGGAGTCACTCCATTAGCAAGCATCAGCTGCACCGTTACCGTATTATGCTTGGGTTCGGGTAATGGAACCTGCAGAAAGGTGAAAGGCTCAAATCGTGCAGACTTGAAGCTGCAGACACAGCACGTAAGCAGTGACTTGTACTGACCCGTGAACAAAGCAACAATAATCGACACTTCGCGTCGTAGATGATTGCGCCACCACTCATCGGCAAGATCTGCATCGTAACGGCCATCGCTGTCCGGCTGCTCAATATAAGGTTTGTCCTGAATACGGTTTAGATCCTCACTCAGTCCGCTCAGCAGAAACGCAAGTAATTCCTGTGCGTCTTGCTGGTCATTTCCGCGAAACGCCTCGTTGAATTTGCCGATAGATTTTTTGAAGTTTCTTGGAGAAATCGATTTCTGTTTGACACACCACATGTCTTCAGCAAGCTTGCCATACACCTCTGCCAGCTTTCCTTGAAGGCCAAGCGTGCTGGTGCGATTGATATCCTCCAAATACATCCCCGACAAGAAGTACTCAGCCAGCAACTTCGTGTTGGTAAGACACTGCAAGGCGGAATTCATGTAACATGTATTACCAAGATTGGTAAGCCCGACCGATCCACCCGAACGCATTCGGCGAGGGAGTGCGAATTCCTGCTTTCGAACATCCTCCTCTTCAGATAGCACTGAAGAAGAATCGTTCTCCACATCTTCATTCTTCTCCTCTTCATCAGGCGTGTCCTGTTCTTTTTCCTTCGGTTTCTTCTGCGACACCCGTTTCTTTGTATCAGCTTCCCAAACATCCAAAAGGGAATCGCCGTTGGCTGCAACGACCACCTGTCGCTGAATCTCGGGTCCACCACCGTACCATAGCTTTAGTGCCATCCATAATTGCTCGGAAATGATGACATAATGACGACCAAGCTTTATGTCCTCAGACGGCTTAAGTATGCGGTCGCGACGATCATTCGTCAGTAGCGGGTAGTTGTTAATGCACTTTGGGCGGACAATCTCTCCCTTGAGGTTTTTCATGTAGTTGTCCTTGTTGGTAGTGCCACAGCCATTTGCCTGCACCTTAGACGTGCCAGGAGTGGATGTCGCGGTTGTGGTAGGGCTCGCAACAGGGGGCGAAAGCAACAGAGACTCCTTCACATGAATCTTAATGTATCTGCACCAGTGTATATACCACTTGCGCTCAATCAGGTACCATCGGTCATTCTCTACCAACGTTGTGGGGTCATATGGTATATAACATCCCGTCGAAATCAACAACTCCTCTTCCTTAGTAGCCGGAACTAGACCCAAATCGATAAACGCAACTTCGCGGATGATTCGCAGTGTCGCCATCTCGTACTTCTGCTTCACCGCCCATGCTGTAAACTCGGTAAGCGTAAGTGTCAGAGCCTCAGTCTGCGCTACCGATGAGCTCGCATCCCAAATGCTCCTTCGATGTCCAAATCTCTTCATGATACCATCAACAAACACGCCCAATTCGGACCCCGATACTGATGGTGTTCTCGGGCCCATGTTTTCGATCAAGGATGAAGACGATGAACTCTTCAATGCACTCAGAGATGGCGGCTGCTTCTTTTCGATGAGCGCCGTGATCTGATTTTCCAGGTCTGGATTCTGCGTAATGTCCAGTCGAAGCATACTGTATATATCCTCACGGGTCATAAAGGAACCATCACCAGCACTTGCAAAAAGCTTGAACGCGAAAGCAGCTTTTTCATTGATACTGCCTCGGCAAGCTGTTGACAGTGCACTTACGAAACTAAACACGTCAATATCGCAACCGTTTGCACGCGAACCAAAGCATGAGAAAACGCGACAAAATCGCTCGTCAGGCATCTCTAGCGGAAAATCACTCGTTAGAGCATCCACGTCCACCGCATCGCCGCCTCCGGATGCACAGTAGTTCTTAAAAGCATCTTGGAGAATGGCTACTTCCTTGGCATTGAAGTGAGTTTCGTTGGCAAGAATTTTCTGCTGCACTGCAGGGTTGAATTCTTCCTGTGATTCGAGTAGCTGTGGGTCAGCCGTCTCGCACAGAATATCTGCGAAAGGCGCCATCCAGTCTACAAGAGTGGGATATGCCTTAAGTTCTGGAACGATCTTAAAAAAGTCATCGCAGCCCATACGCACACGGCCCTGGTCAAAACCCTCGTTCAAAAGACGGCGGTATTCCAGTCGATCTAACACGTGTCGTCCCTGCAGCGACACCAAAAAATTATTGAGCCCCGAGCTCTGCACTTTTCCTGCGTGGTCCAGATCGCACATATTGAAAACGAATTGAAGCTGGTCTTCCATCGTGCCACAGCGTAAAATTGCCACTGTGCGTAAAAATTCATCCATGTTAATATCAGAGCCTTGCCGATCGGACACTGCTTTCATAAAACGCATCGCGAAACTCGACGGCATGTCAGGGAAAACACCAAGAATATCCCTGCGGAAAGAAGCCCGGCTGATACAAATCTGCGATCCCGCCGTATGCGTAATGACGCCAGGGCAATTTCCGTGTTCCTCTGTAGTGCCGTCTTTTGAGGGTTTCCCCACACTACTCGAGCTTGTCGCTGTCGCCTCTTTAACTGGTGACGTCGGGGGTCGCCCGCTTGTGGGTCCTGAAGAAGTCAGTGTCGCGCTACTTGCAGAACAGCGCGAGCTCTCAGCTTCTGCAGTATGCCCACTAGCTGTATTTCCGTGGTACAAATACTTGGACGAACACAGTCGCTTGAAAGCTGTCGAAAAATCTTCCAACAGTTCTGGTGGAAGCATGTTTTTCATCCGCTCTGATTCAAGCTCTTTTTTGTGGCGCTGCATCTTGCGTTCGTACGACTCCATGTGCGCATACACTTCCAAAAAGTTAAAAAGCGGTACGCGGATCAGTGGACGGATGTCCAGCACTTCATTGATATACTTCTCCAGTTCGCTTCTTCTCTGCTCCACAACGCTTTGATGGCGATTGCGAAACACGTGACGTTTAGGAAAAAATAGTTGCTTCACAGGTGAGCTGGTCCTCTTCAGTCGATCATGGAGCTCTCGAAAATCCGAATAACGCTTGCGAATGAGCCACTGCAGTCCCCCCTGTAGTCGCACTTGGACGGAAAACACCGTATGTGACGTCTTGTCAATCTCCGTTTCAGTGACTCCATCTGTCGGCAGCATCACGCTCTCAATTTCAAAAGACGGTGCAGATCCTGACGATATACCCGAGAGCGCCAGTCCAGCTGTCTGCTGCTCTTTCGACCGGAGACCAATGAGCTCACCGGAAGTATGAGATCTCTCCAGCGTTGGAACTGGCCGAGCGCTACCAGATTCGGAAACAAGTGGGGCCACAGGATCCCCGTCAGACGCGACATCCTTTGGATCCGACATGACACCCAGCACGTCATTAGTGGGCGAAGATGCTGCAGACGACGGGGACGGCGACATGGCGATGTCGAGCGGCGTCGAGGCGCTGGGAACGGAGGCGGCCTTCTCCCCATCCCCATCACTTTGAGGGACCTCCAAAGCCGACGAGAGCGACACGACGTCTTCTTCTTCCTCCTCCTCTTCTTCTTCCTCTTCTTCTTCTTCTTCTTCTTCTTCGTTTTCCTTGTCGTCTGCCTCGTCCTGGGTGGCACAAACAACGGGCGCACTGTCCGCCTCGCTCCCGCTGTTAGTTGTAGTCACCGCGGTATTGTCTCCAGGCTGCTGAGCCGCATCACACACGGGCAGACTCGGCGACGTGCGTCGACTATCCACAGACGTGGCCTCCGTTGTTGGGGTCTCTACCATTCCAGCGGGAGGTAGGAACCCAGGTGCGCCTTAGTGCGGAATGCGGGAGTGATGGTCGGGCGTGTTGAGATGCGAGCTCGCGCTGAGGAGGGGTTTCGTGCTGTCGTTTGCTCGGTTTGGAGAAGCAGTATTCCTTTCCAAAGGATCTTGAATACTATTTTACTCGCTCGGGTAATATTACTCTTCAAGAACCTTTTGACGAGAATACTTTCTTGGGATTGATACATAGGTAGAAACAAGTCATTTCTAAACTGCAACGACAAAGAAAGAAAGAGAGGAAAACTGCGCAATGTATCGATGGCCGTGGTCTCGCCATGCGCAACGCAACGCACATGAAGCAGAATTCAACCTCTGATGCTACGAGGAACAAAAAAGGGCAAGAGAAAGTTCGGCACGGACCTTGCGACGATGCGCTGCTCAATGGTGTCTTGCTGCTGCGATCGTCGTGTTGCAGTTGAAGCACACGGCATAGTAATAGTCGACAGATTGTAGATGGCAGATGGAATCACACCAGTTGTATCGAGGCGCCGTGAAGAAAAGATTGCGCCTTTTTGCTCAGCTTTATCAGAAAGGAGGAGCTAGGACTAACACGTAGACATATCGGCCACCACGACCGTATATCTTCTCGTGTGGGACCTCGACATGAGGACCGGTAAGGACTGCTATTAGCAGTGCAAAGACTCAGTCGACTTTCGGTGAAGCTGAGTTAGTTACTTTACCATCGCAAGCGCTAGGGCACGAACATTTGCGGAGGAGCTGATTTTTCACGGCTGAACGGTCGTTGCATCGTATACGGATGGCAAACTTGTTGGACGCAGTGGTGTGTTCCGGCAGAGACTTGTCATCGCCTCGACGATTCTTTTTTATCGAGCCAAGATATCGTTGCCGAGGCTATTATCCTTGTCCAACTTAATCGCCATTGGCAATCAGTTCCAGCAGCCGTATCTTGATGGTGAGCTTATCTGGGTGGTACGTACAATTGCGTCTAGTTTTCACGTTACCTGTGTCGTGATGCCCATGTGGATAGTAAGTGGTCCTATGTATGATGGCATGGCGAACAGTCCAACTGATAGTGCTTTTGCTAGTGCAAATATGCACAGGTGATGCATGTTCTGGTATCTTATTGACTCTTACTAGGGGCTATTACAATAGCTACATCGCCAGTTCCTGACGACCACTTCACGCTGAAGCGCAGGTTTCCTGCCGATCCGGCTGGATCTTTGCTTTGCACGCCTCCTTCTCATCTGTTCTTTCTGGCCGTCAAACCGATCGGCTTTCGTCTGGTTATATATACGATGAGAAACGTCAAGCTTCGTGCGCTCCCCCACTCGGCTCGCGTTCTTCCTAACCTGTCGTGCACCAACCGTAACATTGGCTGCTTTTCAAGTATCTTGTGGCTCGACAACTCCATATGGTAACGAGGCGGACTCCGCCTTTACCAAGTCCGGTGGCCTAGCATGTTCAGGCAAAGTATTCGCTTATTTTCTTCAGTCGCGGCTTCTTTCTACCGTCGCTCGTTACCGACAAGCATAAGCGCTCTCATCTCCTTCTCTAATTTAAGGTGCGACGTATTCTTTGTACGCATCACTCTGTTCAAGAACTTCTTTGCTCGGGGTCAACTCTGCTTCCTGCAAAGCGCTCCTGCTACGATGCTGGCCCAACCAAATCAGCAAACGTGCAATGACTAAAACCCACAATGGACCATGAGTGCGGCAAAAAGTAGGGTCCTCCACCTCCTTCAGTGAACATAGCGACCCGAAGTCTATGTCGTGATTTCAGCAGGTGCTAGTTTCTAGTTGCTGTAACTCGCCCAGCTTTCGCTTTGTGGCCCGAGTTTATCGTTCGCTAACCAAACTGCTGGAAATGGATTCTACTGTGTTGTGGTCAAGGTGGCGAACGGTTGCTGCAGCGACGGAAGCTCTTTGAAAGTAGGATACATACGCCAAGTAGCAACAAAGAGGGGCTGTCGTTAGTGCGACAGCGTGAAGAAATTAATCACAGACTGATCCATTGTACTTGCCCAGCATCTCCTAGTCGAAGATTCAGATGGTGCTGAGTGCTGTGTGAACATTATGACCGCGAAGTTATGCACATCGTCGAGCCGATTGTTTTTCGGTCGCACTCATCGCGACTACGTCAGCAACCAAAAGCTTCATCAGGATGCTAAACAGGGACGCGGTACTGGTCCGATCCCCATCTTGCACTTTGTGTGTCACGAAAGCGCTCCCATTTCACTTGCATATTTTGTTGACAACAGGGCATGCAATGCGACAAAGAAGCAACACACCAAGCTCTTTGGCCCGTTCTCGTATCCTCGGAGCATCCCCCCTCAGCACTTCCCTCGTCAACACATCGAATGGCTTTCCTGCAACCCGAACACATGCCCGCATGTCGTCTACGTGACACGTGCAAAGAATTTGGTGCGACTAGCACGGCATTGCCATTTTTTCGTGCTCGACCACTTTGTCTGAGATACTGTACTCCGAACGAGCGGTTGACTAGCTTTGAAGCGCACAGGCAGCCACGCTTTTGGGTGTCTGAGTGGTGATATGATGCAGCGGTGTCCTCACAGTCCGAGGATACCATGAGATGCCACCCAACACAAGTGCATCACTGTGCTTAACCATCCACTCTTTAACCTCCGTGCATCGCTAGTTTTGCAATGGTCAATGCCATGTGAGTGCAGACTTCATCTCGGTCTGGCTTTAGCATGTGGGAGCAGCAAAATAGCGAGCATGATGCACAATGTCACCGTGAAATCTAGCGGCCTCGGTCAACGATCTTTGCTGTGGTTTGCATGCTATTGCGATAGCATCAAAGAAGACGAGATTTCGGCATCACGTATGATGATTGCCATCGGATGACCACTCGGAAGACCCGCAAGCTGAAAAAAAACGACACGGCCTTCAGAATCATCGAATGGTGACGATTCAGTTCCAGAGACCAGCAGCTCAAACTGATGGTGTGCACGACCGGGGACGAGAGCTCAATGGCACGTCCATAGTCTGCGGTTTGAGCTTCACAATACAAAAGCAATGACCCGTTCGGCACAGAGCTTCAAACAACAGTAAACTCAATAGTATAAACATCCATTTTGCTGCAGCTACTGACGCCGTTGATGAGAACCTTATCACGTCTCTGTCTAAGATGAGAAACAAGAGTCTGTGCGGACGACTTCAGCTTCCCCATCACAACAGTCACTCCACCAGAATACACAAACACAGCGTTCCCGGATCACGAAAACTGAAGCCAGCGATGGAGGCTCTACGGGCCACCACTCACCACTCCACGTGCCAACCAGTATTGGACCTCCCACACTTGTCACTTGACCTTGTAAAGCCGTGAACGCAACTGTCCCGACTCGTTGTTCCACCGCGCGAGTGTCTATGATCGCATCGCGTGCTGAAGTCATGACAACTGCATGTTGACACATTGCGCCGTCTCGTCTTCGCTCGTCACGGACATCTCACACTTGCGCGTGTGAGTCTAAAGGAGCGGCTGCTGGTAAACATGATACGCCAAGCCGTTGCCTATCCAAGACAGCTCAATGGCCATCGCGAACCAGACGAGGAATCGGCCGCGCCAAAGACGATCATTGACGATCACCTACGGATAGAAGCAGGTCACATCCGACACAATTGTTTCCAGTTGTAGCATGAAAGCTCAAATTCATCCAAGCGACTTCGTAGCGCCTTTTGCAATTACATATCGACGCTGTACCCATGATGGCTCGCTGCTTCCGTATGCGAAATTGCGGTGAGGTCATTATTTCAGATGAGTGACCCACGGAGCAGCCCGACCAGCTCTCGAGACTCGACGATGGGAACCGATGCGATCGAGTCGCCGCGCAAGCGTCCACCGCGTCTGAACGTCGGCCACAGCGCGGAGTCAAGTCACACGGTGGATGAGGAAGACGATGCGGAAACAAGTGCGACGCTCTCATCCATCGCGCTGTCTCCGCCGTCTACAGCGTCACGCTCGAGTTCCACGAACACTTCTGTTGTCAATGCACAGAAGACGAGCAAGACGCAGTCGGCACTATACAAGCAGGTGGAGGTGCGTGACGATGAAGAAAGGGAGGCACTTGCTGGAAAAAGTGGTGTAGACAAGCACGAGCTCGAGAGTGGGGAGAACGAGGTCCGACACTCGGCCGTGCAGCAGTTCCGGAACTGGCTACGACGGCTGCGACAGACGTTTGGCACGTCTTTTCTCTTACTGGTAAGCACCGTGTATGCTGTGCAAGGGTTTATGAGCTTCAGTGCACTAGCAGTCAACTACTTTTTCAAGGACAACTTGCAGCTGCAGCCAGCAGAGTCGCAGTCGCTCCTGACTGTCATGATGGTGCCGTGGGGAGTTAAGCCGCTGTATGGCATCATTTCGGACAGTTTACCGCTCTTTGGATACCACCGCAAGTCCTACATGATACTATGCAGTGTTCTTGGTACGATGTCAACTCTCACGTTGGCTGTGCCGGACATGATTACAACTCCACTTGGTGCCGTCCTGGTGCTCATGCTGAGCAGTCTATCGACGGCAGTAATTGACGTCGTTATTGACGCAAGGGTCGTTGAGATGTCAAGATTGGACCCGAAGTATGGAGCGAATGATCTTCAGTCAGTGTCCTGGGTGTCCGTGTCGGTGGGAGGCGTGCTTGGCTCCTTTCTATCGGGTCCTGCAACGCATAAATTAGGTGTCCGTGGCGTGTTCTTCTTCGCGGCTATCGGGCCACTTACAATTTTGGTTCTCTCCACGTTCATGCATGAAACGAAGTCGACAGTGAGCAAGCGTCACTGGAAGTCCTCGGCGAGGAGGCAGTTGCAGCAGCTGAAATGTGCAATTTGCACACCCGTGATTTGGATGTGCGCGCTTTGGGTATTCCTGTCGGGTGCCATCAGTCCGGGGTATTCGCAGGTGTTTTTCTACTTCTCGACAGAAGTGCTAAAGTTTACTCCCGAATTCCTTGGCGTTGTCACGGCCTTTGGTTTTCTCTTTTTAGGGGTGGGCACCATGCTGTACAACGCCTGCTTTAAAGACATGTCATTCCGTCGCATCTTCTTGATCGCGCAGATCAGTCTGGCGGTCGTATCGCTGTTGGACGTTGTTCTGGTTACGCGCTATAACTTGGAGATGGGCATCCCTGACAAGGCATTCGTGCTGGGTGACGCCGTTGTTGCGGACGTAATCAGTCGCTTAAAAACGATGCCTGTGATGGTACTATGTGCTAAGCTGTGCCCGAAGGGTATCGAGGGCACTCTATTTGCTCTGTTGATGTCTATTGGTAATTTTTCTCGCTGCGTAAGTGAAATTTTGGGCGCTCTAGTCTGCACATGGATGGGTATTGCCAAGGACGAGTACGACAATTTATGGCTTGCCATTGTCTTACGCAGCGTCTTGAAAGTCGTTCCCATTTTCTTCCTTTTCCTGATCCCGGCAACAGATCCCCAAGAAATGGTAGACAAACTGGATTTTGGCTCACCTTCCTGCGATACTTCTTCGAAGGACGATGTAGAAGAGGAGGCTGATGATACAGACTCGGGCATGATACGTGAAAACCACACGGTGAATAACTGCTCACCGACTGGAGAAGTAATGCTTGAACACACCGTTGCTGTTGTTGTTTGACGGGCTGTTTTTCTCGGGAACGAAGCTGTGTAGATGATTGGACTTTTCAAAACTGTATGGCCATCGTGCACTAGTGAAGGTGCACGTGTTAGATACTCTATCAAACTTTGACTGGCCATTTTCGGGCAAATTCATGCGTAACTTGTCTATTTGTCGCGCAACTCGGAAAAGGAGACAACCATAGCCGTAATATTGTCCATGCTGCGCTTGAGCAGGGCAGCCTCCACAAGAGCATCAGCTGCAAATTGTAGCGCCTCCTTTTTTACACTGTCGGGACTTGTGCGTTCCCCTGACCAGTGGTACTCGGCCACCTTTGTCCGCACGATTTTGGCAGCATCATCGTCGCTCAAACGGTCCCAGAGACCGTCGCTTGCAAACACGAGGTACTCGCCTGCTGCTTCCACATTGAAAACACGGACATCAGGGACCACAGACACGAGCGGAGCTGAACACGACGACGGCAGGTTCATCTTTAGTGGATGGTCTCCCAGCGACCGACTGATAGCCAGACGTAGCGAGATTTGATCGTGGGCTACACGCCAGCACCCAGAGAAGATGACCTTACCTCCTGCCTCTTCCACGCGATCTGTCTCCTCCTTCAGATCCGGTTTGTGATCAACGGAGAGACGTACAGCACTTGCTACACCTCTTTCGCCTTCTCCTTTACTTGCACCGCTGCTGTTCTCCGACTGAGCCAACACACCGCGCGAGTCTCCAATATTTGCAACAAATAGCTTACCGCCGACCAATAGTCCCAGCAACACCGTCGACCCATCACGCTTGTTTAAAATGACGGTGCGATGGAGAATCTCAGCATCTACCGTCGCAAAAGCGTCAGCCAAGAGGTTGCGAATATTCTCCACGTCGACTTCTGTCAGCTTAGCGTGCCGTGCGCGTCGGCTAATCTGCATGAGGTCTTCATTCTCTCCAAGCAAGACCTTAAATCGACGACGGGCATACTCCGACGCGTACGCACCGTTGTGACCATCGTACACCGCCAGCAGGCTGGGAGACGACTCGCTGTCCATTTCGCTTTCAGACAAACGCTCTACCACCGAATATCGATCTTCCATGTACGGCCGGGCACCTTGAGCAAGCGACACGCCAACTTGCACGCGCATCTTGGCAGCCTTTCGCCGCGTGTTTTCACCTGTGGTTTCATCGCTGCATTTCGGGTGGCAGATGGTCGTATACTCGACACAGCGCTGAGTCTTGGTCTCCTCTTTGTGAAACCTCTTGAGCGCGTTCTCAACTTTGCGTCGTTTTTGTTCTCGGGTCTTCATCGCTCCGCACGTAGATGGGAGCGTAAGTGGCTTCACCTCAACCTCTTCCATCAGCCGCTGGGATGGGTGCAAGTCTTCAAGCTCGTCCAGACTTGTCTCAGACCCTTCACTGTCTAATGTACCAGCTGTGGCATCACATCAAGAAGGCAACAGATCCACAAATAAGCACACTTCATCCATGACACGTGGTTGCGTAGCGATCAAACACAGTCGAACTCACCGGACGTTGTAGGTGACAAAGACTGTCGTTTGCGCGAGGCTGTAGTTGATGACTCAATCCCATCGCAACTCGACCCGTCAAAGCTCGTCTTCACGTCTGCCAGAGCTCTGGTGGTTCCTTGAATCACATTCGTGTCACCTTGAACTGCTGCTTCGACTGCAATCTGCTCGAGCGCACGGATCCCAGAGCGATGCAGTAACCGCGGTGTGCGTGGCGACTTGCAGTGTCCAGGCGGCGTGGCCGAGCACATCTCGAGCCCCACCATTCCGTTCACGGGAGACGCCACCAGAACGTCGACAGGAGCCATTCGCGTGGTACAAGGACAACGAACGAGGTGGCAAGACGGCGTTGGCGCGCTTTTTGTCCGCAATTGCTTTCTAGACGCCCTCTATCAGACGATAAGTGACATTCCGACCCGCGCTTTTTAGAGATCGCTGATTGGTCAGGCTAAACCTATCCGCTTGTGACGAGTATTCCCTTCAGCAGGATCGTTTCTCGCAGTGCATTATGACCGCGATGTGATTCTAGTGGTTAGCACGGTATGACGGATACCGTGAGCAACCGATATCCTTGCGAATATACCGGAATATTTCCAGTACCAGTACTTATGTTACAGTAGTCTAATTTTATTTTGCTTCTACATTTCCAAATGTAGTGCAAGTACCGAGGGCTCCGACTCGGACCAGATTTTGTTGGGTCGACCTCGTGTTTGACCCGGTTTGTCCGGGTAACAAGCTGGAAGTAGGCCTGGACCGTGACCCACTGGTCCCTCCATTAACTATCATTTGCTGTTGCCGTAAACAATCAGTCGAATGCAATACATTTTCCGTTACTATGTGGATTACATAGTAAGCTCTGTATCCCATTTCCAGTACATTTTTCATTGTTCAGGGGATAGTGATAGTGGATCTGCAAAAAAGTTGCTCGCTGGTTCTTAACTGAAATTCAATGAGATGTAAAAAAAAAACTCGATAACGGACCGTGAGTTAGAGTATTCCGACAATCTTTGTCGGTCGCCTTCGCCGACGATTATTAGTCAGCAAGCAGGGATTTGCTGCCAGAAATAGTGGTGCCGAAAAGACAAGCTGAATTTAACATACTCTATCATTTCTGAGAAGAAAAATATGTCAGTAAGCTCTTACAAGCTAGGTAGTAGCAATTTGCTGCGGACCTGCGTATGGGTCTACAGCTATAAATGGGACCATAATCCGGAATAAAAATTTGTTGAAAAGGTGTCAGGTAAGTGAAAAAAACGAAAGAAGGTGCATCGTTGATTGGACCGCTAAAGCTGGCTGATATGAAGGCCCAAATTGGCCATTCGGTAAGTTTTTTTGAATACTACCCCTTATGGTAATGTTCACGAGCATTTTCAAACTTTGTGATAATATTCTGACTAACAAGCATAATTGAAGGTTACATGTAATAGGCTCACCCCGTTAAATCACCCACCCCTAAAACGATAGTCACTCAATCACTATCATGTTATGTGGTCACCGTTAGACCACATCACGAACGAAGAGCACTTTCTGGTCTGATCCACTCATTTTTGGATCTTCATTGCACGAATTACAGCTCCACGCGATATGCAGCGGAAGCCGCTGAGAAGGCAGCTGATCATGTTAACGTAGCTGATCTTAATGATGATCAGCCATCAACGCAAACAATTCTCCATCTGCTGCCTCTTCAATTCTTCCTGCAGCACTAGCTGACGCAGATGCACGCGGTGTGTCACCAAGTGCCAATGATGATAATTTGTTTTTAGATATTAAAATCTATTTACGGGAGTGGGACGGTGGGTCCGACTCGAAGAAAAGACGCCTAGGTCGCCCGAGTCTCGAAGAGCGACCGAGTACGATCCTAGAAATAGTACTCGAGCGGGTATCCAGTATCATGGTCACCACAAGAGCCTGTTTAGCTTGTAGGATGAGTATTCTGGCTCAACCCGTGCACCTGATACTGCGCAGTAACTATCTGGCGTACGCGGGGATGTTTTGCAACGTCGAGATGACGCTTTTTGAGTTACCAAGACTTCCGCTGTTACCACGCAGGAGCCTCTAGACGACAATGTGCTGCGTCTATCCCGTGAATCTAAGCCTCGGGTACTACCAGGCAAGAATGGGAATGACTTGTCAGGCGAGACAAGTTTACATCGTCGTATTCCGTAATTCGATGCGAGGATGTTGAATGGTCTCGGCATCGGCGCGGGCAACTTTTGCGCTGACGAAGACTTTTACCTTAATGTTTTTGTCAAGCATAGTTGGCATAGCAGAAACAACAAAGAGACAAAAGCTCTTTATTGCTGGATTGGAAAACTTTTCTAGTAAATGCGCGGCGCATCAGGCGTCATTCCTGGCTTTAAAAACTTGATACAGCCTGTGGTAAGTTTGAGAAATAACCTTTGCTGGTGCAAAAGTCAGGCTAAATCATCTGTCTAGTGGGGCAGGAATACTATGCCTCACGTGGTTTAATACATGGCCGGGTTTCACAACACGCAACGCAGACAATAGGACATGTAATCCTTTCCTTTTCCCTATAGACGGGCGTACATCTCTTCTGAGATGCGCGATGTAATTTTTTAATTACCTGCGATAGCTCTATTAGCGCCATGGGCGTGAATCTCTGATGACATTCTAAGCATTTGGATGTGTCTCGTCGTGCTGGTCTTCGACATTCTCGTCTTCAACCATCAGCTGGGTACAAGGTCCTAGATGTCGTGCGAAGGTGGATAGCCACGCCTTCGCCTTCATCGGTCTAATAAACGAGTGGACTTTGCGTTCCACCAATTAGAGAAAAAGTAGAGGCGTCAAGCCTTTCACGACAAAGTGTCTGACATTCATCGCCAAATATGTGGCAATACCGAAACAGATTGAGAGATTGGCTCAAAACCAAAAAATCTTTTGGAAGTTATTGAGCATAGCGGGTGCATTTGCTCGAGGAAGATACATCGTGCTGATAGTACGGGCGCAGACGGCCAACGTTAAAAGTAGGATGCGTGCGCCTCCTGCGAGGCAACTTTATCGTGTACGCACTGCATTTTTGATGTAGTACACGAAGCAGGCAGACTTACTTGGGCAATAGATTAATACTACCTACATTAGTTAAATCGTGCTTAGGTAGATTAACCGTAGACAGTAGAACTAAGTGTCCGAAATCATATAGAAGAACGTTTGCTCTTTTACTTTTTTCAGCGTTCCGTGTCTGCCCATCAAGCGCGTAAGCAAATAATTCTTGTACGAAACTGACCACTGCCTCTCGAGCTGACAGAATATTCTCTGCTGACTCTATTCTGTTTGTATCAGTACGATTCGTGCGCGCTGCTAAGAGACGCCTCTCTTCTTCAACGAGGGCGTCATCATCCCCACTGGCATATTCATTTATGATGCTGAATATACCAGCATCGTCGTCCTCATCTAAGTTAGTAATAGTGTAATCGCTATTGCTGATGTTCTCTACTTCGATGTCGAGTTGATCGACATCGGCAACATCCGCGTCGTCGAGTAGTTTGACATGTGATAAGCAAGAGCCAAAATGGTTTTCGCTCGGCGAATTCCCCCCTATTTAATTCAGAGTCACACCGAAATGAGTGGGTAGGCGTGAATTGCGTAAGAAAATCACGAAGAACGGTTCATGTGTTGTTGACGTATGCGCCGGGTTGATGGAAAACTCCACCATCGGTTAAGGTCACTTCGACCTGTGAAGGTTTGAAATTATCCTCGATATACTTTTCGAAGACGCGTTTGACGCGTTATTTCTGACCATCCGATTCAAAAATTGGCAGAGGTAGACATAGTCAGACGTGTTCCGAGGGATCAGAAACAGGACCTTTAAAACGCCGCCATCAATCGAGGGTCTCTACTAGAGACTAGTTCACGAAGACTACCGTGAAGTAGAAATACTGTGTCACTAAAGACACAGGCACAGCCCTGCGCTGTGTTTGAATCCTAATGGGCATCAAGATGTACTATCTTACGGAAGCATTAAAAAACAAACGATTACCATTATTATTGCTAGTGTCTCCAAGAAACCCAAATACGAAGTCCGTTGAAACGGACTGCTATCACTCCACCAGGATCGGTAGAGGCTGTAGTAACGCACAGGATGAAGGAATGGCTTTTACCCATTGGCACACCTTGCAAGCACGAATATACTTGCACAAAAACTTATACTGGCATGGCCGGTAAAAGTCGCGACTTGCCGTGAGATAAGTCACCTCACTCCCACGATGCCCACCGTAAAATGCATTATGACACTCATACGAGATGCGCAGGCGAAAAGCGTTTTGAGCGGGGATGACAACACGAGGTGTGCCGCCGGCAACGAGTGCATAAATTAGCAACCCATTTCGCGTTGTGCATCAATCCGCAAAGGATCGATATAAATTAACTTGATCTTTGAAAGATTAACGAGAAGGGATCACATGATGATCCATAGGTCTTAGGAGTATGAACCCGGACGACTTCATGTCGTCCGCGACAACGTGAAGTTGTCCGGGTTCGTGCTTCACCGATAAGTTGCACTCTGCAAGATGATAGTGACCTTGCCGTTCGTTGCGAGAGGCGTGTTCTTTTTACGGCCGTGCGTAATGACGCATGGTTGGTAGAAACGAAAAAGGGCCTGTATCCTAAAAGAAAACCCCGAAACTTAGCCAGTACATTTTTTATAGCAAGGAGTTTATTTTTATGAAATGGGTAGTTACGCTTAGCTATGTGCAGCTGACGCGAACGATGACAGACGACGTGCTCCGCACCGCCTGCATCGTAATGTAATAACGCGCAGCCGATTGCAAAATCGCTGGCTTCAGAGTCCACGTGGAATGGTCTATCTTGATTTGTGAAGAATTGACAAGATAGTCAATCGCGTTAAGCTCTGCTTGATACCTACAAAAAGAAGCTAACAATCAGCGTTCCATGACCACTATTCATTTTTTTGAAAAACGTTAGGGAAACGTGTTCGTCTTCATGTAGTTGCGCGAGTAATTGTGTAAGTACGAAGCTGGACCAAGAATATTTCTAAGTCCCTTGACATCTACTGGAAAAGGCCAGTCAGTGATCGTCTTGATGTAATCGCGATCAAGCGTACGCCGTTTATCTACGTTATAGCTAAAAGGTGCTGTTTTGCTCGCTGCAAATATACACTTCTTGAGGTTGGCATACAGCTTACGATTCCGCATAATTGTAAGACCTGACGAACGTGTGTTCTGTGAACCTCTACGTCCGACTTTTCAAACGCATCCCGGCTATGGACGAGCACATCTTCAACGTTACTTGGTTTCCAGATCTCACACCGGTCTCAATAGACTTGTTACGCATCTGTCGGACGTTTGAGGGGAATTAATTATCCCCTGTGGCATCACTAGCCACTCCCACAGCGTATCGCTTGAATTGCTCACTGCTGTGTACGGTATGTCTTGTTCACGCATGAGAATCCGATAGAACCCATCCATCAGATCCATGGGAGAAAAGTTGGTACTTTTTGACCTATCATCTATGATTGCGTCCTTCCTCGGTTTCGGCGTCTCAACCGGTACCGTTGCAGCAATTAACTTGTTGTTCAGTAAACTATCCACCATCCCCCAGTGGCCTCTTGCACACACAAGTTTGAAGAGCAATGAGAAGAAGTTGACTCCCTCCCATGGCCAGCTTCAAAGCGATCGTCAAAGAATTTGTAGATAGCTGTAACCTGTTCACGATACAGTGGCCACTGCCTCATGACACAGTACTTCGAGCCCGGTTTGAGCTCGAGCTCGTGTCGAGTGCCTTTGTTCTTAGGCAACTCGCATGACACGAATTTACAGAACACTTCCTTCAAGTCGATCAAGTCCTTGTAAAAGGGATTTGTCTGAAACAACTCCCAAGATTGAGACGAGTTTCGCTCAATTCAAATCTTCTCATTGAGGACGCTTTCGTCCATTGATGAGCTGCTGAGAACACGTTTGTCCTCGACAAATACAACTGCTGGCCGAATGTTAGTCACGTACTCGTTCTCTGTAACGAGTACACAGATCTGCTTGACTCTGCCACTACGCAGATCTCGCAAGACCCGTTTTGGCTCTAGCGTTGGCAATTGCATGATTTCCGAAGTTAATGTCGGAGGCGCTACAAGGTGAATTGTATAAGCGCCTACACTTTACTCGTTAATGGTTAAGACATTCAATGCCTCGGTTTCTGCCTATGAATTCTTTTTCACAGGCTGCTGGGCACTTATTCCCTCAGTATAATGAGGCCTTGTTACCTCATAAAAACTGCTTAAGGAAACTATTCCTCAAATACGTAGGGAATTATTTACTCAACGCCTTCTAGCTGTGGTTGTACTGCCACAGCCAGGTCCTCTACGATCGACTATCCAGACGATCTTAGATCACCGTGTTGCCCTGGGCGGGCAACCGGTTTATTTTTCCTCGGATGTCGCCCGCTATGATAACTACAGTGTCCCGATCCACTCGACCGTTTCGAGTGGGGGACCTTCGGCGTTGCTTTCTCATCCTCACGCCGCCGGTAGTCCCTCCAAAGTGTGATCGTTTGCCAAAGTATGATCTTGTGTAGTAGTAGTAATGACCGTGCCGCAAGTGAGGCCATCGCACTCACTCGTAGTACATCCACACGCTTGTGGACGCTCTAAGACGTTCATCAGATGGCCATTTGCTGAACAAAAGGCAGGCATCTTCACGGATCGATGCTGTCAGCTGATATATGGCTGGTACTTTCTAAGCCATGGCAGACCGAGGATGACATCAAATTTGTCATCCGAATCCAGAACGATGAAATTACCATCGTACTGCATATCTCTAAAGTTTAGTGAAGTCCTACTACATATTCATAAAAGTTAACGATGCGCCTGTTGCTAGGCGCACCGTCACCCTCGTCGGAGGATATCTCGCTCTACAAAATCGAGCCCAAGATCCCTAGCGACTGGCGAAGAACAAAGTTGTCCGACACCACAAAGTCTACCGGGCACGAAGTTACAAATGCTCTGTCACTTCTACCTTCATGGTGATAAGGGGTACCTTGTCATTAAGTGCAGAGACACACAGCGATTGTGGGTCCAGAGCAACTCTCATCAAGATATTTGCATTTTTTAAGGTTGCTGTTCAGCAGGGCTCTCCGCCCCTACTGACACTGACCATTTTAACGGTCCTCAACACTGTTGCGATTTTGCAACAACGTTGGATCCGCGTCCTTTGCTCTTCTTGGCAAATGATCGAACAGTTCGCTCAGTGTTTCGAGATACTGAGCGTAGGGCGCTACACTCGTAAGCGTAGTGTCCCAACTTCTGACAGCGATGTCTATTCTCCAATCTCTTGTTTGCTGAAGAGCTAGGTCCCTAAATCTCAGCATAACAGAGGTCAATAGGTTCTGGACCTCCGACTTCTTGTCATCTTGGATAACGAAATGAACCCGAACTAGCATGAGCCTGTCTCAAGCTAAAGTCTCTCTGTTGTGCAACTATTATCGCTAGTTCTAGCGTATCCAGCTCCAAGAGGAACAGGTGAGTATTGACGGAACCATCTGCAACCCTGCACGAACACAGTGATCAATATGTGGTTATGAACCGGTTTGGCCGTGATACAACGCGCAAGGTGTCGTTTGTGTTGAGCGTAAGTGTGCACATCAGGCTTACCCTGCTTGAATTGCAAGAGCTCTGATCAAGCCCTGAGCTCACCCCTCGGCGGTTCAACGTTCGTCTGAGCCGAGTCTTGAAGGCCTCCGACGACCCAAACACACATGAGTCGTGCAAATTGAGCCCTAATGCCCAGATTTTGGCACGTCAAGCCAGCTTTGACTGAGCAAATGCGACTTGCATTCGCTCATCTACGGAATAAAGAGTCCTTATGGCGTCGTAAACTCGACGAACCATCTCAGCAGGGAGTTTACTCGACTATTTAGTACTTTGAAATGTCTATCTCTAAAGTTTTGGATCGACGGTCGTGCGTCGCCCCGGCGACAGCAGCATGTGCCTACTATAATCTCAACAGATCGAACTTGTTGAGCACCCTTTTCTCTCAACAGCTCTGCTTGTTGAGAACCTTGCTGGTGAAAACATGTGTATTTAATCCCGTGACTGGTAAAGTTCACGTTGTCTGAACGTGGCAACAAGGGCATGCTTCCCATCTCTGCCCAGTGCGAACAGCATGTCAGAGATGGCATGTTTGCTCAAGTTCGAACCTATTTGATCGACCGCACTCCATTCGATGTCACTCAAATAGGAGTAGATTTATACTCGTGGCGTGAAAGCTGTCACTGTCATCATCAAACATGTTCATGTTGGATGTAGGGGTTGCGGTCCTTGGATGAACTACAAAGTTCTAACAGGTGTAACGGAGCACTGGTCACTAGTACTGCCTTAGTATTAGTGCACCTACACTGACAAAAGTGTAGGTATTGCCGCGCGTCACGTCACGTACGCCGTTCGTGCAGAGGAAGGCTAGGTAGTGAACGACGCGTTTGAAAGGAGTAGAAAATTAAAATGTATTGAGTATAATAAAATCCTGATCACATGTGCCCACGTTTAGTCCTAACTTAGTTATATTTATCTACAGAAGTGTATGCTAAAGTCTTGCTCACCACTCATTGCGCGCGTCCATCGTTGATTGGACCGCTAGAGCTGGCTGATATGAAGGCTCAAATCGGCCATTCGGTAAGTGTTTTTGAATACTACCCATTATGGTAATGTTCACGAGCATTTTCAAACTTTCTGATAACATCCTGACTAACTAGTATAAATCAAGGGTACATGTAATGAGCTCATTTGTTACACAAGTAGCGACTTATTAACTGCAGAGATTCTGGCGCCTATATTTCATGAGTGTCAGTTGCTGCTGCGACTGATTGTTAAAGAGATGCATCTTGACGATTGCGTGTGAGGTGGATCATTTGTTAAAAAAAATTCTTGCTACAGTTTGACTGTTGATAAGCATGCAGTTTAATCGCATTCACCGCCTCCTTACCACTTTACTACCTCTTTTCCTTCACGATTGGCACGTCGTCGTCCAACGCGATGCTCATTGTTAGCTCTTCACAAACCGATTGTACGTCTGATAGACCGAAGCAAAAAAATGCTTGCGTGATAATGAACAAACGTATTGGCTGCTGTCGAAAAACAGCTCGAAACACCATCTATTTGCTAATCTTGAACAAAATTGTAATTTTCTCTGTCCTTACGAAGACCGGTACAGTGAATGAGGGTAACTTTCTGTGACAAAAGCTGTCAAGCAAACCGTGTCACGTTCTAATCCAAACTTTCAAACTGTGTCACCTTTTGGAATACTCCCAAAAAAGACAGTCCTTTAGGCCTCGCCGTTTTTCCAGATGTCTATCTCATCATGAGTTTTAGAGTGGTCCTATCAATGACCTCGTGAAGTAAGCTGTCGACTCGAGATTGTCAGGCAAAAGTAACGCGTAGCGATCAAACGTTTTATTCGGTTCTTCATTTCGTTAAGTACGCACACAAAACACTTCATGTCCAAGGCACATGACGACAGCCCGACCCTATCGCTGCCGGACGGATGGGAGCAGTTCACGTCCCCGGACGGCCACCCGTACTATTACAATTCGAGAACAAAGGAAAGCAGATGGGAGCTCCCGCCCAAGGAGAATGGGGAGGCGGCGGGTGGAGGCCCCAAAAGCCATCGTCGGTCGGATCGAGACAAGAGACGGAGACGAAAGAGTGCCTTGGACAAAGGCGAGCTCGCTGTTGAGCATACAATGAATAAGAAAGAGAGGATGAAAGAGAAGGATCAGGAGGTTGACACAACGGCTGCAGGGGCACCAAGTACCGTGTTTCAGACGCTCCAGGCGTCGTTAGAGGAACGATTGGGAGCGATGCATGCAGGACCGTGTCATGCAACTCCTACCCGACAAGAGGGGGGCATGGATATGGGAGGAGTAAAAGAGGTGGAAACGCCATTGGTGGTGGTGGTGGAAAAGCAGCATGAGGCTGAGACAGCAGATATGAGCGCAGCAGAGCGATTGCGCTTTTTGAGGAAAAAGCGGCGGGAAAGTATGATGTGGAAGAGAAAAAGTCTTGCAAGTGATGATTTTATGGCAGAGGTAGCTAGCAACATGAAGAAAAAGGGGTATGTTGGTGGCAAAAGTAAACACGAACAGGGCATTGGTGAAAAGAGGGTGAGTTGGAAAGAGCAGGAAAAGGCTGAAGAGGAGCGCAAGCGACAGCAGATGCAGAAAGAGAAGAAAGCAAAGGAACGTGAAGCAGAGAAAGAAAGGCGTCAAGAGCAGATTGCTAAAGAAAAAGAAGAAAGACGAGAGGAGGCATATGCTGAGCAACTTGATGTGGAACAGCTGTGCGACCAGGCACAGAAGCGAAAGGACAACAATCCAAACGAACATGACGTAGAGGAGGTAACAGAAAAAAAGGATGACAAGCGTGGTGAGCGCACCGCCGAGCATGAGTCTGACGTTTACGAGACGAGCACAAATAGAAAGCAGAAGGTCCAGAGACACGCACCCGTTCTTGTCGAAAGTAGTGTAGAACAATGTGAGAAGACTTCAGACACATTTTCAACCGACGAGGACACACGACACGATCTAAGCCAAGGGGATGAATGCAACGGCTCTGCCACTGGCGACTCGGCGGCGCAAGTGAAAAGTGTTGAAGACGATCATCCCCCAGCAGATGGTAGGCCACGCTCTGAGATTCATACCGATGCGAACCAAGATGGGGGGCGGTGTGTGCGCAAAGAGCGACGAGCTCAGAAACAGCGTGAAAAGGAGCTGTTGGACGCATCGAAGGTGAGCTCGGTGACATCGGAAACGCCACGACGTCGGTCAACATCTAGCCTAAATGAACTGGATGAAAAGTCTTCCGCTCGGATACCTAGCAACGAAGCTGAAAGGGAAGCTAAGGCAACAGAAAAGCAGATGCGTCGTGAAAAGCGACGAATAGCAAGACTGCAAGCAGCGATGGCAGCTCAAAGCTTGGGTGGAAACGGTGACCATGTCAAGTCGCAGCGGACGAAGCATTTGGAGGTGCACACGGATAGCAGCAATGACCTGAAGGCTGGAATAGCCAAGACCGCGGTCGATTCTACAAGTGGGCAGCCAGTGTCGGAGCAGCCACTGCCTGGGCAGCCGCTGTTGGGTGCTGGTATGTACCCACCATGTCCGTACATGATAATGCCACCACTGCTACCACCTTACTCACCGTATGGGTACTACTATCCTTTCATGCCGCCGTCCGTCCCAATGACCATGTATTCTCCCGACATGGTGCCGTCGGGATATCATTCGATGCCGTCGACACCCCCGCATCCGACAGACGCGATGGCGGTGCCTTCATCATTAGTTCCGTATGCTTCAGAGTCAACACTGGCGAATGCTTATGGATACGATATGACTTTTAGCGGTATGCAGTCTGGTCCAGAACTGAGCAGATGCGACTGTTGTAAAGGTATTGGTGTTGGACTGGTGGAAAAAAATGGTGTCTGTGCGCATTGCAACCGGTTGCGCCTTGCATTCATCGTGGATTCTGCTCAGATGCGACTACGGTGCTCACTGTGTGGTGGATGGGGTTTTCAGCTGCTCCAAGCAAACGGGATGTGTGAACATTGCACTCGACAAAATGCGCAAAAGTCGCTACGACGGGTCTCCGCGACCACCCATCATCCAAGACGTGTTACACCCGTGGTTGTACCTCGACGGACTACGAATGCAAATAAGGCAAAGATTGATGACACTGGTTGGGATGAGTCTTCGCTGGACGACTCCGACTGGGACGATTGATAAGTGCGTGATGTAAGAAACGAGTTTGGGGAGTGGAAAATGACGACACTGCGTGCATCGGACGGTCCAGGCTTGTGCGCAGTCTTATTAGCACAGTGCCAATATCATTAATACCAGCTCATCTGCCGAATTCTATCGAAAAACACCACGCAGCTACTTCGTCCACAATCAAGTGAAGACAAGTTGCGTATGACAACTGCACTACAGCTTGAGCATGCTAACCTCTCGAAAGACCAGGATAGTGTTCGCTCATGAGGTTTGTGCTGGTATCTCCGTAGCGTCGCGGTTTTCGAGAAGAATGGGTTTAACGAAGGCCCTCGATAGACGTGGCTATACGAGCACTACAATACGTATATTTTCGGTGTACGCTGCCGGACCGCTTTTTTGGCCCACATACAACGCAATCGTCCAAGTAGGGCAGGTGCAAGAAGTGTTTTGTGGTCAGAACGTTACGCACACATTCGACTGAGCACCGTATTATGCTGACACAGATGGCTGGCGTTTCAGCAGTGCCTGGTCAACCGAAAACTCGCCAAACTGCCGCGTTAAGGTCTGCAGATAGGTTTCTAGAAGGCTGTGCACATCACGCATGACAAGCTCGACAACAACTTCATCCAAGAAAAGCGCTGCAGATTACCAACAGGCAGGCTCACAATTAGTGACGCCGAATACCCAAGACTACAAAACTCTTACCGAGATCTTCTAGTTTCTTCAAAGTGGCGGAATCCAGTTGCAAGCTTCCTGTTGCCGCATTGGAATCAAATTGTGTACCACTAGCATCGACTTGTAGTCCAAGAAGGTTTCCTGATGACAAATCGCGTGCCAAGCACCGTCAGTTTACAAACAAAAGCCCTTCAGGTTGTGCGATCGTACCAATGCTCCACGTCGAGTGGAAGAATGTGCAAAGCACGGTGGCATACTCATCCAATTTGTCGACCGTGCTGACAACACAATTACAAGTGTCGTAAAACGTTAGCTCAAATGTAAGCTAACTCGAACACCCAATTCCTTCGTCACCTCGACACGTACACGAGAATAGAAGGCGCAGCTCCAGCACGCTCTACGGCAGCAACGGCCTGCTTTTTGACCATGCGACCGAACCCAAATGCTAGATTTGTCAGCTTGCCAATACTTGATGGGTTACCAACATCCGCACGTTGCTCTTCAGTCTACACAAACCGCCAACCCATCAGTCCTCATCGAGAAAAACAACGCCGACACACACAGCCTAAGCTCCTCATGTCCTTCTTCAACGCACCGCGTTACTGCTTTCTCGCTGCATCAAATGCAGAACATCATGACTCTGATCCTGTGGCAGAAAAGGGAACGACCGGATCAAGTGCAGGCGCTCTTGTTGTGCAAAGTCGAGCAACGCGTCTAGCGCCTCGATAAAATCAGCTTTGGCCGCGTCGGACGATAACGGCAGAGCGTGCTGAACAGAAGCAGTAAACACTTTGTCCAGAAAAAGTGAAACAAGCAGCACGTAGCACCTACAATCATCTTCTCCAGTCGCTGTTTCAGCTGCTGGAAGATTTCGACTTTCAACGGGACTCCAGCGAGCTTGACTCGATCTTGTTGCCAGATTTCTTTGGGCACAAACAACTTTGGCGAGAACGAAGTCCCCACTTGAATAGACCTTTCGACAAGACGCATCAAGTAGAAGCATCCAAAAGGCTTGGGGACGGTCACTTCAGGGTAGCGTGTCTGTAACAAAGAGTTTACCAGATTCAATGCGATGCAGCAGAATTAGTCGAAAACTCGATGTAGTTCGTCGTTATGATTACAAACAGACTCGAAGGTCGAGGGTCGCCATCTGCTCGAGCAGTTCTTTCGACAGGCAGCAGGGCGGCACCAACGGCGTCGTCGCCTCACTGTGCGACAGGTCGGACGTGGAGGAACCGGACGAGGCCTCCGCTACTTTTTCCTCCTGCTCACTGACCCCGTCACATTCAACATGCGGCGTCTCGTCAGAGAGGTCCATCGTCTTGACGGTCGGAAAATCGACTTAAAAATGCTAAATAGGATCATAAACGGCGGTCAAGTAAACCAATGGTGGTAGTCCTTTATTCGACATCGGAGCTCTACTTGCGGATGTCCGTCGTTTACTTCCATGTTTACGGTCTGGTCTCGGGCAACTGCAGCAGTGCTGCTGCCATCTCATACTACTCTACTGTCCGGCACTTCGAACGGATAGCTTCCACACCGCTTATACGATCGTGCTGGACCGACAAAGAGCACGACCATCCCACATGACTGCAACGCTACCAAGAGGTATTTCGGCTATGTGTTACGCACCTCGCCGGATGCCTTGCCCAGAGCTTGTAACAGCTGCTCGACCTCGCCCACGTTGTTGACGTACAGATGTGCGTTGCTGGGCTTCTTACCCACTGTGCATGTGAAGACGTGGTGAAGCGGGCCTTCATCGCCTGTAACAAGGAAGTCTTCGTAGCTGCTGCCGGGGTGTCCGTGTATGCTATCTTCCGTTCGCTCGGCATAATAGTCGTAAATTGCCTTGAACATACTCTCATCTGTTGTATCGTCGCCGATGCAAAAGAGAAAATCCGGGTGGCCGTGGCTGATACTCGCATCTTGCGTCAAGATCTGTCTGGCTACCACACCCTTATTAAACCCTTCTGGCACAATCTCTAGCAGACCCTTCTTGCGGATAATGGTCACAGGAAGATCGCGAATCACTTCCTCCAAATCGTTCTGCAGCGAATTGGCTTGCAGCAAACCCCATTCCGGGTCAGTCGAGCGAAAGTTCCAGGCGATACTCTGTTCAGTATGCCGCAATACACTACCATTTGTGCGCGTGCAGTACACCTTAAGAATTGGATCGACTACCTCACGGACAGCAGCCCAGTCAAATTTGAACCTTTGCTCGTGCCAGTGACGACCGCTTGGGCTACTAGCGTCCTGCATATTCGAGTCCTCAGGATTATCAATGTTGACGGATCGAGCCCATGAGTACAATGCTCCATTGTCGGACGCCAGACCAAGACCATGAATGTGTCCAAGCGAGGCAGTCAAGTTCAACTTGCTCACGCCACTGACCACGAATACTGTGTTCCGCGGATCACTTGTCAAGTTCGTCAATGCCTCCATCATGCGTGGAGACGGCCGTTTACTCGTCACTGCTGTAAAGTCTTTCTTGATAAACATTGCAATGTTTTCACGCGCAATAATGGTGCCACCGTAATCGAGCAAGAACACACGCCGGTTGGACTGCATATATGCCGTCATGACTTTGTCGATATTCAACTGCTTGAAGTCAGATCGATCACCAATGCGCAACACGTGGGAGCGACCAATCTCCATATCCGTATACTCCATGTTTGTATATTCCTCGTCACCCTCCGGATTGTCGGTCGCTTCGTGTAGAACAGACAGCACTTGTTTCGTCCAATTCGCAGCAGGTTGACTTGTAATGTAAGGCAGATCCCGTGCACGACGGCCAAGGCGCTCTTCGTCGCTCATTGTCAACGCGTGGTCCAACGAGTTCACCAAGCCGGTGATGTTCCAGGGGTTCACACGCACGGCACCGTTTAGTACACAACAGCACGCCGAAAACTCGCTCAGAATAACTACACCCGGTCGATTTGTCGGCTCTACACCCTTCGCAAACACAAACTCCAGCGGCTTCAAGTTGAGTCCTTCGCGGATTGACGTCACCATCAAAATATCGCTGGCGAGCCAAAGTGCCACGCGTTCTTCCAAAGTAAATGGAGTTGACGTCTCCTCGTAATCGATGCACCCGGAACCGTGCGCCTTGGTAATCCGATCCACGAGCTTGCGGATCTCGTTGCTACTATAACTTTGGTCGCCCGGTCGGCTTTGTGTCAGGTTGGCTCGCTCCACAAACACAAGCTTGTCCTTCCACGTCGGACAATTACTGAAAAACTGCTCAAATGCTAGCATCTTGAGCGGAATGCCACTCAGCCGCTGACAGACATCCACACCTGCAATAAGCAGCTTACCTGCATGTTTCTCGCGAAGCTTACGTGCTGCTTCCTGCACATCGGGGTTGCCAATCATCTCGCGAATTAGCGTCGTTTCGATACCTACGTGGCTGATTGTGATAATCACATTGCGACCACAGTAATCGACACCCAAGTTCCCACCGCGTCGAGACTGATATGAGAGGCCCAGGAAACGTTTGCAGGCGTTAAGGAAATGGCGGGCGTGATCGAATGAATGAAATCCTACAATGTCCACGTCCAGCACACCTTCTAGCAGTTGCGTGCCGTGAGAGAGCTCTCGAAAGACTTCCGACGTAGGAAAGGGCACGTGCAAGAAAAACACCATCTTGGGTCGCTTGCGATTCTCCCTCCTGCACGTGTTGGCCAGATACGACGGGAATAGCAACAAGTGATAGTCGTGCACCCAAACGGTGTCATTTTCCTTGCACATCTCGCTGACACGGTTGGCCAGTAGCCCGTTCACTGTCTGATACGCATCCCACCATTCACCATTGTTGCGTTCTTCTTTCCACTCGATCACTTCTGCGCGATCCCAGATAGCGTAGTAAATGTCCAAGATGTCGACATTGTGAAACATGGGCCACAGCTTGTTTTTGCAGTATCCGCCGTGGTGGTTTGCTGCCAGCTCTCGGTCAATGAACACGGGGATACAGTTCATCTTGGCCAATATTGCTGTGATCTCGCTCTTGTCATCAGCTGACAGCTCTTCCTGATCGCTTCGTGCGTGATACGTCACACAGCCCACCCACGTCGTATTCATGCTCTCTGCAATGCTGTTTTCACTTCTCGAAATCAAACTGTCGCGGTTCCACGTAGCCGACCAGGATCCACTCTCGATCGACTTCGTCAGTTTCACAGGCAAGTGATAGCACACCAGGAACAGCACGGCATCAGGCGACGGACGATAGTTTGACGGCATGTACCGCTTGTACCTGCTCTGCATTTTGTCCTTCTGTCGAAACCGCTGACCAGGCGAGCTTGTCACACTGCCGCTACATGGGGACTTGGTGCTATCTGCCTGGTCTTCATCATCCACGACACTAGCCGCCACATCAGCTGCTCTTGTTTCCTTCTCCGTCCACGCCGCTCCAGCATCTTCAGCAGCAGCAGCAGCATCATTATCCTTCTCCTTGGTCGAGTCCCGTAGTCTTGTTGCCATTGGCTGCTCTAATTTCCGACGTTCATAGACCAGGGAGCGTTCCGTGCGTTCACCTGTCGGCACGAGCTCCATGTCCCGATCGAATTGCCCGTACTCTTCCACCACCAGCATCTCTCGTCCTTCAGGGATCAGCACTCGTTCACAAGCGATTTGTTCCCAGGAGCTAAAGACACCGCCAGAGAACAGCGCGTACATGTACTGGTGCGGGACTCCTCGGGGCAAGATCATGGGCTTGACAGTCGTCCAGTAGGGATAGTCCTCGGGCGTGGTCACGAGCGTCATGCTCTCGTTCGGGTTAAAGTGGCCCATGACAAACGACGAGCCAGAGCAGTGCACCATCTCGCCCAGACGACTGAAGGCTTTGACCTTGAGCGACACGCGCGTGTACGTGCCCGTGTTCACGTCCCCAGACGCGCCATCCGTGGACGAAGTCGACGACTTCCAACTGCACAAATGCGGCAGCTCGTCGGTTAGCATGGAAGACGGAAAGTCACTGCGAGTGGTTAAGTTGCTGCTGGTTAGGTTGCTGCTGGGTATGTTGCTGCTACCAGTCGTATCGTCGCTGCGAGCGTGATGACCCGACCGTTTCTCCGAATGGAACGACGTGGGGAGAGGCGGGCGCTTGCTGTCGTGGATCCCGCCTTTCGGCCATGTGGCCGACGTGTCGCTCTGCGAGAAAGCGCTGGGCTCGGCCATGGTAAGCGCAACGTAAGGTGCAAAAAGGGGAAGCGACGGAGCTCAGCCGCGCTCTGAAAAGACGGAGGGAACGAGCCGCAAGGGCGTATTTAACCCAATCGCGCCTTTTCGTTTGGTTGAGGCTTTTTGATTGGAGGAAAAAGAAGAGCCACCGAGGTGGTGGTTGGGCTGTACCATGCTTGGTGGTACACGCTTTGACCCACGCACCACCCGTTGAAAGCCAGTAGCTCTTTGCAAGCAATTGACTGGCGCGCGACGGTCGTGTTTTTTTTGAGTGAGTGACTGCTGTTGAGTCTAGTCATTTACTTTACGAGAGAGAGGGATGGCGTCCGAGAAGGTAAAGACCGCGCGTACCGAAGAAGAGAAGGCGGCGAGGAAGCTGGCCAAGCTAGCGAAGAAGTTTGCTGAGTCCGAGTCATCGTCCAGTTCGAAGAAGGACAAGTCAAGCGAGAAGGACAAGTCAAGCGAGAAGGACAAGACGAGCAAGAAGGACAAGACGAGCAAGAAGCGCAGCCGCCAAGACGACGAGGACGATGAAACGGACCCCGTGTCCGAGACGTCCGAAGAGAGCGATGCGGCTGCTCGTTCGACCTCGAAGAAACTCAAGACAAACGACAAATCGACGACTGTGGGTGGCGTAGAGAACCCTCGCCTTGAAGACTTTGATATTAGTCAGGAGACGCGAACAAACCTTCAGGCGCGAGGCATTAACACGCTGTTTCCCATCCAAGCCATGACGTTTGCCAAGATCATGGCTGGCAAGGACCTCATGGGGCGAGCTCGCACTGGTATGGGCAAGACGCTAGCATTTGCTCTGCCAGTGATTGAACTGCTGTTGAAAGACAAGCGACCACGCTCACGTGGTCGTGCACCTCGTGTAGTGTGCATGGCCCCGACTCGTGAGCTTGCCAAGCAGGTGGCTTCTGAGTTTGAACTCACGGGCCCGTCGCTCAGCACAGTCTGCATCTATGGTGGTGCATCGTACCAGTCACAGAACAATGCGTTTCGTAGTGGCGTGGACATCTTAGTCGGTACGACGGGTCGTGTGATTGATCACATTGACCGGGGCAACTTGCTTCTGCATAATTGCGAGTTTTTGATACTCGACGAGGCCGATACGATGCTGGAGATGGGCTTCCGGGAAGATGTGCAGAAAGTGTTTGCTGCAATGGAGAAGGCGCAGAAGGAGGGCGCGACAAAACGTCAGACGCTCCTGTTTTCGGCTACGATTCCTAAATGGGTCAAGGACGTGGCTGATAAGTACATGCAGAAAGCTGAATTTGTCAATCTTGTGAAAGACTCGGATGATCAGGCGTCCACTGATGTGCAGCACATTGCGATCCCCTGTCATTGGCAGGGACGACCGACGCTACTGGCTAATTTGCTTGGTGTCTATACCAAGAAGGACACTCGCACGATCATTTTCGCAGAGACGAAGAAGGACTGCAACGAGCTTGCGGTGCACCCTGAGATCAAGACTGACAGCCAGGTACTTCACGGTGACATTGCCCAGGAACAGCGTGAGACGACGATGAAGGCATTTCGTGAGGGTCGTTTGCGTCTGTTGATTGCCACAGATGTTGCTGCTCGTGGTCTAGACATGAACGTTGACCTTGTAATCAACTCGGAGCCGCCCCGCAAGATGTCGGGTATGGCTGATGTTGATACGTATGTCCATCGATCTGGTCGTACGGGTCGTGCTGGTAAAAAGGGTATCTGCATCACTCTGTACACAAATCGCCAGCGCGATTCGCTGACTCAAATCGAGCGCAAGATCGGCAACAAGTTTGTTATGAAGGGACCTCCAGACCAAGAGGACCTGATCAAAGCATCTGCCGCCAAGGCGCTAAAGGAGATTGAAAATGTTGACGCTGCTATGATTGAGCTTTTCCGGGAAAAGGCGGGCGAGTTACTTGAGAGTACAGAGCCTGAGCAGTGCTTGGCTGCTGCACTAGCTTGTATCACGGGCCACACGAAAGTGCCTCGCCGCACGTCGCTCATGTCTGGCGTGCCTGACTACGTGACGGTGTTGTTTACGAGCTCCAACCCGATTCGTGCCAAAGGCTACGTCTGGAATGCTCTGAACCGAGACATCTCTGAAAGCGTTGCAAACGACATCAAGCAGTTGACACTGACTGAAAATTCGATGGGAGCTTGCTTTGACCTTCCGATTGCCGGTATGGAGCTGATGGAAAAGCTGATCGAGGATGGTGGCATGCACTGCCCGTACTCGTTCCCAAAGACGCTACCAAAGCTGCAACAGACGGCTTACCAGATGCGCTCGCAGAGCTTTGGTGGAGGTCGTGGTGGCGGTGGTCGTGGTGGCGGTGGTCGTGGTGGCGGTGGTCGTGGCTACGGCGGTGGTGGTCGCGGCCGTAGTGGCGGCCGAGGTCGTCGCTTTTAATTTGCTGCAGCTACGAGAACACTTTGTCATCAAGTAAATGCCGAAGTCGTCTATAGTCCTTCAACTAGTTAGATAGACTCCCCAACTCCCTAACGTTAAATATTGTACAGAGGTTTGCGATTGAACATACGTACCAGTATGTAAACAAACGGCGACGAACAACAAGGGTAGTTTCGTGACGAAATTTGGGATTACATGGACGAAAGTCGCGCCCGCATGTTTGTCCAAGATTCTCACCAACGTAGAATTAAACTGCAGCAGCACTTCTCACTGGAATATCTCGGTGGTAAAAATTGTGCAATAGTGCCGACCGTGTTGAGCTCCACCGCATGATTATTTCAATTTAACAACCATGGTAGAACAACTTCCGAAAGCCTCTCATCTTGGCTGGTGCTGCCAATTCGTCCGATGCTATACTGCAGATTGCAATTGACTGGTAGGGACTACGGTGTGTACTTGTTACGACGCACTTGCTCGTTTTTCCAAACTCTTGTAGCATGCAGTAGACAACCGTTTCCATCATGGAAGATAGCGAGTAAACCAAATTAGTAGCGGGGTGCTGCGCCTCGCCCAATTATCTTACGAATGTTCGCATGCACACAAAAGCCGTACTTCCTGTTATCGATACAAGAGTGAAAAGTTTATGCCGCTTGTGTCACCTTTACCATGCGACTTTTATCGGCAACATCATGCATGGCCTCTGTGTACGATCCGTGCTGGCTAACAGTCTTGATACCTAAAGGTGTATTGTTACTGATAACCTCACCGCTTGCGTCGTCTACAAAACACTAGAGATTTAGAACAGAAGTTGACGCGAAAAAGAGTGGATTCTGCTTGGCGCTAGAGCTTTCCTGCAGACAATCCGACGTCGTTACTTTTCTCAATTGTTTTGCACTTATAGAAAGCGCTGCAAAATAAATACAACCTGAAGATGCAAGTCCATGCTTTGTGCGTCGAGGAAGATCTCTTCCTCGACGCACAAAGCATGGACTTGATACAAATTTCAAGGCTTCGCTTACACAGACATATTTTCTCTTGCAAATGTAGATTCAGCAATATCAATTGCATTTTGCGTCCAGCCATGCATCCTACGATAATGTAGTCTTCTAGCTAGATCGGCTAAAAAGTCTGAGGATTCGGTTAGCCACATATTTCGCCATCGTGCCAGCCCCGGGCTATGCGATCACTCCTCAATATTCAAGCGAAAGCATACATGGCATGGACATCTTCCACGAGCTTAATCTACCAATCATTAAACTTCGATTGAAAAAGATGATTTCTGTGGAGTGGCACCCTTTGTATGGGGTGCCACGAAACTTCACGTGCACTAGTACGTGCAGAGGAAGCTAGTCTACTCAAACAGCTAGTTTGAGCAAAAGGTAAAAAGAGAACTGTACTAAAGATAGTTAAGCTATCAATACAACTCCAGTCTATTTCTTTTTAAATCTACATTAACGCGCGACGACAACCTGCTAACCACTCATCACGCGCGTCCAGCGGCGATTATTGGTAATCTCGGTTGATAGGTCTTTATCAAAGAATCTTTAGGCAGCGCATGCATATTATTCTAAGGGATAACATTCCTTCAATCTTCCCAATCTCATGTAAAATTGACAGAAGATTATCACGCTAGACAATCTTCCTATTGGCACCTTTTAATGTCAATGTGATGTAACGGGCGACCCCATTGCATCAACCCCCAACCATTAATCATCCCGGTGATTGGATTAAGCTAATTGGAAAACGAGTGATAACCGTTATATCAATCTGGGAAGGGGAGCACTTGTTATTCAAATTCATACTCATTTGGCGATTCATCGCATGGTGTCAAAGTCCATGCGGTGTGATGCCGAAGCAACCAAAGATGCGGTTGCATGCATGCGATCAGCTGAAAAGAGTACTTCTCTTGCTTCAGCAGCAGGTGGTTATTCGCCTGCTGTTGCGATTGAGCAAGAGGCATTGTTTGTTGTGTATAGTCCACGAGGTGGGTCACCATATGCGACAGATACATCCGCTGCGTCTGTAGCGGGTGCTACGACTCGCATTGCGGATGAGCCTGATATAAAAATTATCTATTCTGGCGAGTCGGATGCATCATCCGGAACGAAGGCGACACCTCACGCCTTTGGATCATTCAGACTGACACTGCAAGAGCCAGGTTGACTGGCTCTGGGGAACGTGGCCGCATGATGTCCGAGATATTCGGACAAAGCAATTCGTCTGACGAATCCTCGTCTCACGCAAGTCTATCTGACGATAAGACGCGTGGTGACAGTGGTGACGCACCCACACGTCACCACGGGGAGCAGCTCGAGAGGTCGAGCTGTTGCTGGTGTCAGTGCTTATTCTGACACCACTCAAGCAACCAGGGACCGCAATGTCCTGAGCCACGCTCCTCAAGTGGAGTCTCCTTGGATGCCATCATACAAGAAGCTGGATCTATTGGCAGGTAAGACCATCGAACGGGATCTAATCCCTTTTTTCGACCGTACGAGGATCTGTCTTCCTAATTTTCAACACGTAAACTATCCGTGATAAGGAAGAGCTCTTCACCGATGTGTTCTTCAAACATCGTTGGTACAATGGCAAACCATGATCGAGACGGTAAGGCCTCGGTGCAAGGATGGAATGCCTTCATCCACAACATCGAGTGCATTGGCCGTGAGGCCTGGCTTGGTAAAATTGATGCAGCTCGCATCAGGATTAAAAAGCGTAACCCAGTCGGTGTACGATACAAGTTGCTTCGACTTTCAAGAGAGGCAGTATTACCCTGTCTCTCGTGGGGTGATTCGTGTCCAGGTTGCCTGGTCAACTTGTTTCGTGCCCCGAGGGAGGACTGAATATCTAATGTTCCCTATTGGAGGGCGCGCATCTCTTCCGAGATGGCCGAAGGGATTGACATCTTGCAATCCCTGTACTCGCGTTCGGGGGAGTGGGTCATTTTCCGACGGCCCTTCTTCCAACGCAGCGGGTGGGTCTCGTCGTACTGCTCGACGATACCAAGGACTTAAACAATCGGCTGGACACGAATCTCCTAGCTGTCCCATGCCGGTGGCTATACAGCGAACGAGGTAACTCGTCCAGACACCATTCACGTCGCGGTGGTTTAAGATACGCTCCACTAGGAAGTGTTGACCACCGCCAGAATCCACCAAAGGATGTGGTGGTGGCGGGAACACCTGATCCGGCTCAAGGGTCGGAAAACAGCTTGATGTTCAGGGACAAAACTGTGTAACGAAGGAGTCACACGACGATCTGCTTCACGAGCGGACTCGGCGTGACGAGCTCCATAATCTCGTGAAGGATATTATAAGTCCTTAGCGCACGATTGTTCTATCGATCGTGCCGCGTTTGCGTTTGCGCAACTTAAGAACGAACGTTCGATTTATTCTCTCCGTGACAAGATGAATGCAGCTCGTCAGAACATCGCTCAACTGCGTGAACAGATCGCTTCGCTAGTCGACCAGACTGGCTCGTTGAAACGGGACAACTCGAAGGTGGTCTCGGCTCTCGACCGCGGAGGTGTTCTTAGCATCTCGAAACGGGCTCGTACTAATAGTACGGGCGGAGAAGTCCATCGTAACACGTAGGATGCGTACGCATCTTCCAGGGCAGTTCAATCGTGTACGCGTTGCCCATTCGACGCAACACACGAAATGGACCGATGTACTTGGGCAGTAATTTACTGCTGCCCACGATTGTCACTGCGTGTTTCGGTAGGTTTACTGTAGACAGTAAAACTAGGTCTCCTTCATCAAATGAAAGAAGATTTGCTCTTTCATGTTTGTCTGCGTTTCCCTTCTGTCTGTCTAGTGCATCTGCAATAGAGTTTTGAACGAAGCGGATAACCGCTTCGAGAGTCAGCAGAAATTCCTCTGCTGACTCATCCTTGTCAACAGCAGTGCGCTTCGTGTGTAATGCTGAAATAACGTTATCTTCATCAGTGAGGGCGTCATCGTCTTCACTATGGCAGTCATTGGCGATGCTGAATATACAAGCATCGTCGTCATCATCATCATCGATATCAATCGCATCGACATCGGCATCCATCACGCCGACACCTTTGTCGACGGGTGATGAGCAAGAACCAGATCAGGTTTCGTTCGAGCGAGTGTATTCCCCCCTTAAACTAGAGTCACACTCTAAGAAGGCGGGTAAACGTGGATGGCGTAGGCCATTCACGAAGAACGGTGTATGCGTTGTCGACGCATGCGCTGAGCTGTTGATGGCGAATTCCGCCATCAGAAAGAACTTACTCCAACTCGCATACGAGCGAACTTACCCTCGAAGTATCTCTTCAAGGACGCGGTTGACGCGTTCGGTCTGAACATCTGTTTCTGGATGGTCAGAAGTTGACATCGTCAAACGTTTTCTAAGTGAACAGAACGCCGATTGTCAGAACTCCGCTGTGAAGCGGGGATTTCTATCAGACACGAGTTCAAGGGGTAACCCGCAGAGTCGGAAGATAGTATCGATGAAGACTCGAGCACAGTCCTGGGTCGTGATCGAATTCGGTATAGCAACAAGATGTACCATCTTTCTGAACCGATCAACAAACACAAGAATGCCAGTATTCTTGTGAGCGTCCGAAGGAAATCCGAAGACGAAGTCCATCGATACGGACTGCCAACACTTTGCCGGAATCGGCAGAGGCTGCAAGGGTGCACGGAACGAAAGACTAGGCTTCATCCGCTGGCAAACTTCGCAATCGCGAATGTATATGCGCACAAACTCAAATTGGTGGGGCCCGTAGAAGTCACGACTTACCGCGAGATAAGTCTTTTCTCTACCGCGATGTCCACTTCGTGGGGTATCGTGACACTCATGCATGATGCGCAATCGCAAATAATCATGATCGCGATCGACGACACGAGGAGTGTCGTCATTGACTGCTGTATAGCACAACAGTCCATCACGAACCGAATACCGTTCGGTTGATGAGCGGTATTGAGACGTCAAGCTATTTAAAGCTTGACTGTATGGTTTAAACACGTAATTTATCAATCGCAGAAGAGACTTATCTTCTGCGTGTTCTTTTCGCACGTCGTCGAGCAGATTCGACGACGGGACACTCACTGTTAGTGTTGCAACAGTGGGTCCACCCCCACTGTTGCGTTGAGAAGTCCGCTTCGAATTGGGTTAACGCAAAAGAGCATTAGCGAAGACATTTAGTCGTTCCGGTTTGTACTCCACGAAGAAGTTGTACTCCGCACATAAAGACATCCACCTCGCGATTCGTTGCGAGAGGTGTGGACTGTTTACGGCCGTGCGTAACGACGCATGGTCGGTATAAACAATGAAGGGCCTATCTCCTAAGAGATAGACCCGAAACTTAGCTAGTGCACATTTCAAGGCAAGAAATTCCTTGTCATGCACTGGGTAATTACGCTCAGATGCTTGCAGCTGACGCGATTGATATCAGACGACGCGCTAAACGCCGTCTGAGTCGTACTGCATTAACGCGCAGCCGACTGCAAAATCGCTGGCGTCACAGACCACATGAAATGGTATGTCTTGGTCTGCAATCGCCAGCACAGGCTATTGCACCAAGCTTTTCTTGATACTTTCGAAAAGTGCTGACACTCAGCGCTCCATGACCACCTCTCGTTTTTCTTTAAAAGACGAGAGAAATTTGCGGTCATCTCGGCGTAGCTGCGCGAGTACTTGTGTGAGTACACCGCCAAGCCAAGAAACTTTCGAATTCCCTCGACTTCGACTGGCACAGGCCAGTCGCTAATCGCCTTGATCTTTTCCGGATCAGGGCGTACACTGTTTTTACCCACGATGCAGCCACGAAGTGGTATTTCGATCGCTGCGAATATACACTTCTTGAGGTTCGCGAACAACTTATGCTTTCGCTTTATAGTAAGAACCTTCCGGACATGGATTCTATGACCTCCACGTCCGTCTCTCCATCCATAGACCGGCTATGGTCGAAGACATCGTCGAAGTAACTTGGTGCGAAGTCGCGCCCCGATCGCAACAGATTCGTAACACATCTGTTAAAAGTTGCAGGAGCGTTACTTAGCCCATGTGGCATCACTAGCCACTCTTAGAGCATACCACTGGGGGTGCTCACTGCTGTGTACGCGATGTCCCGTTCACGCATGAGGATCTGTTCGAATCCATACATCAAATCCATGGATGAAAAGATGGTACTTTTTGTCATACCATCTATGATGACATCCTTCTTGGGAATGGCGTTGGAGCCGGTACCGTTGCAGCGTTCAATGTGTTGAACGCGTGCACTATCCGCCACCTTCCTGTGGCCTTTCGCACACAGAAGGTTGGAGAGCTATGAAGGGGTGTTGATTCCCTCACATGACCAGCCGCTAAACGACCGGCAAAAACTTCGTCGATCGCTGTTATCTGTTAACGAGATAGTGGACAGTGCTTCATGATACAAGATTTCGAACCAGGTTTCAGTTCGATCTCATGCCGAGTGCCTTTGTCTTTGGGCAGCTCGCATGGCATGGATTCCGGAAAACATCCCTGAATTCAATCAAATCCTTACACAAAAGATTTGTCTTTAGAGACTCCCAAGATTGAGACGTGTATCGCCCAATCCGGGTCTTCTCATCGAGGACACTCTCGTCCATTAATGAGCTACTGAGAACCCGTTCGTTCTCAGCAAATACTTGTGCCGACCGAATATCGGCGACGTACTCGTCCTCTGTGAAGCGTACGCAGATCTGCTTGATCTTGTCACTACGCAGATCTCGCAAGAATCTTTTCGATTCTGGCGTTGGAAACTTGACTACCTCTAAGATGACTTAGGAGGTGTTAATAGATCAAGTGAATACGCGCCTGCACTTGATCCGCCATTCACCAAGACATTTGCTGTATCGGTGCTTTCCTAAGAAAAAAACACTTCCGTAGGTGGTTATAGGACCGCTCCCTCAACATAACTCTGTGTCGAAGTCCATCTCAAAGAGTTGCTTGTATGAAACGCGATCTTCCATTTGCCCAGACTTGCCGACTCACGGAGGGGTACTCCGATCCTTGCCTTGTAGTATGACCTTGTGCTCACCTTGTGTACCCGTCGGTTGGGCTGGATTGAGCTCTTCGTAATGGCATTGGAAGATGTCGATCTCGCTAAGGGCTTGGGGTGGAGAGTTCGCTTCCGGTGAAGATATCTTCACACCACGAACTGGTTCTGCAATAATAATCTTGGGTTGCTGAGATCTCTTTTTCAGAGAGGTAGCAATCTCGATCTTGGATCGCACCGGTCTCGGTCTTGAATTCGGGATCGGGGGCTTCACTACGTAGGAATCTTTACTCGGCGAATATTATGAGTCTGCGTCGATCTTGCCTTGAGATCGGTCCGATCTGGTTTTGATATCGGCCAATCTGATCAGAAGTGCGCAGTTTGGACAGATAAGTCTTGAGTTTCACCAAAATGAAACGTGCCGATCTTCCGTCTGGATCGCGTCGATCTTGCTCGGTATTGTCTTGAACGCCTTGTTCGGATCTTCTAACCACTTGATCCGTCTAGCGATCTTGTAACCGAAAGCCTTTACCGTGTTGCTGCTACCCTAGCAGTGAGTTGAGCATGTGAGATCTTGATCGGTCTGGGCCGAATTCTCCGAGATCGCTCTTGTCGATCTTGGCCAACAATCCAAGATCGCTCTTTAATATCCTTAAGCATGCGTACCTTGAGCCGTCGGTAAGCCAAAGGTACCTTACCCAGAAAAAGGGAGGACGCGTGGAGTGTGTGGAAGAAGTAGAGTTCAAGTCTGTTTATTAACCAGCCAAATTACGATCCAACCTACCCTTAAGCCTATTCTTAAACACAGGTCAATCTCCAAACCGATGTCATCTGGATCGCCCCCTTGCCACGTGTCGAGATTTCGTGCCCTGTACTCCAATGATAGCGCCAGTATTCCCGATATCGTACCCAGAACAACAAATGTATCCAAATCTCAAATATGGTACCAAATACCCATTCTTGGCACCAAAGTACCCGATATAGGACGCACATTGCCGAGTGTGTCCAAGTCCTTTTTGTGGCGTCAATTCGGACGGCTTCCACTGGCTCTTTCGGTCTGAAAATTCTTGACATCACTTAGGGACCTCCATCAAAGTTATTCCACATGATCCCGTGTCTTCATCAACCTTATATCCATCGTCAGTGTGGAATATGATCGATCTGTCGTCCAATATCAAAAAGTTGGAGGTGGATCTGGTCTAGATCGGCGATTAACACCTTTTCATCTCCTCGTACGTGCTTCAATATCATCCTCCAGTGTTATCCGATTGAAATCTTCAATCACATATTTCAACATCGGCTCCTTTGACCCCGCTGAGTATGAAAGACTTCCAGATCGGTGTATAATCAACCAAAATCAGTAATTCCATTATAGGATCGGTAAATAGTATCACCGATCCGCTTGGGGCTGCACTTCCTTCGCAGAACCACACCATATCTCATGGTCCCAGAAACACCTTTCTAGAGTAACTTGACCAAAACATTCACGACCGTTGCCATATCCAGTCAATCCGACGTTCCAATGTCCGTCAATCACAAGACTTTCGCATACAGATTGCGATTTAGTCTTCATCTGCTCCAATATGCGTATCCTTGTCCTCGACCAACACTCAGTTGAATTGTATGACTTCGTCCCACTTCCTTGTCCCATATTACATCACGAAAAGCGTCTTTTCTGCGCCTCGTTTTGGATCGTTCATTGAAAATCCTTCTGCAGTCGTCTTGTCCCAAGTGGCGATCGGATCGGCTCGTTGATCCCCGTTGAGATCACCTTATATCTCCCATTGGATCGACAGATTGCTCGTTGTTGTTTTCTGCCAGCTAGTGGCATTTTCACTGGGTGGTCACCGCTCCGCGTCCCAAAATTAAGTAGTGACTTACCACAACTCTCTCAAGAGTTTTCACTCCCAGTAACACTGGAACTTTCATCCAATATGTGTACTGAGTGTGGGTGTACTACTACAGTCACGTCCTCTTGGATCGACTCTCTTTCAGGTGATCGGGCTTGCTCTCAATCGACTCTCTGTTAGTCGATCTCGCTATAACGAGTTGTTCATCCTGA